GGTGTTCGACAAAATCGGGGCGCGCAAGCGGAGAAGCATTTTAAAGTGCGATTCTCTTGCGTGTATTTGTTTTGTCTGTGGTCACACATCGGTCACACACCACACACACAAGATGGGCGGCCACCTGGCCGCGATGAGTCGAAATTTCCTTGTAAATGCACCCGTTCGCCGCCCGCTCAAGCTCAATGAGTGCCTCCTTGTCGGCCATGGAAGCATCGTGCGAGTTCTTGTACTGCTGTTGTGCAACAATTTTCAATGCCACGCGCAGCAGCAAGCAGCATGCGAGGTACAGTGCACTGGTGTTTCGCGGCAAGCACGTATTTCGTTGCGCGTTGCCATGTCTGCTGCAATCAACGACTTGCATTCGAAACTTGAGGCAACGTGCGTGTTCCATATCTAATTAATTGATATCTTACAAGTACCGCTCGATGTTTACCCTCACTACCGAATAAAAAACATAGACATCCATGCAGCCTACCCAGAAGTACATCCGGACAACGCAAGGAAGATGAATAAGCCCTCTCCTGAAGGCACAAACTTGACATGAAGCATACGCCGTTTGTTCCCAGACAACACCTCTTGACCCTGAAAAAATATATAAAGTGTCACCTTCAATCGACAGTCAGTCACGCGGGAAGAGGGTTGACACCAATAAACAAACACAACAGACAGTTCATCACCCGCAGGACACGGCATCGTGTGCCTCTGGGTCGCAAGCTGTGGGCGCACAGCAAGCAGTACACTTGTGCACCCCTATAGCTTCGGACGCTTACATGTTTGGTGAAATTTTACGCCGAAGCGACTCTATTTGAGTTTTTCACTATATGAGTTTTTCAGTAGGGCTAAATCGGCACTATTGACGGCGTCTCACAGTAGTGCCGGCACCGGGTTCTGTTGGCATGCGTGCGGCCTCTGCTTGTGCATGGAAATTTTACCGGCACTGCTGTAGCGGGCACCGGCGCTTTTCAACCGGCACTACGATATACTCACTGTTATTTTCTTGTTGATTGTCAAAAGTCGGAATATTTTCCAACGGGAGATCAACGCATTGCATGTGCGTATATAGGCGATGACAACCAGAGGAGAACTTCGGCAGTGTGCACAGTCCGACAGACAGCGGCGAGGAGAGAAAGGGCTTGGTGGAGGACTGATAGGTGTAGTTAGTGTCCATCAAGCTAGGTAGGTATAATAGTGTCCATGTCCATCCATCCATGATGTCGATCGAAAATGTGCGAGAGACAGGGACGGTGTGCGCCGCGCGGTGACTCCCAGAGAAGAAGAGTCAAAAATAGATAAAACAATGTCCACGTCCAGACGGGAATAAAGTGTGAACGTTGCTGTCAACAGGTCGCATGATGAACCAGTGAGACCGTGCGGCAGCGACAACATAGCCGGCGTGGTGGCGGGAAAAGGGAGTGTTGGGAAGAAGAGGGTCTGCCCATGTCGTCGATCGATGAAAATGCGTGCCCAACGCCGGGTGTGCCCATCATCAGTTTGCCTCGCTTGCAATGTGCACCGGAGAGCTCCGGAGAATCAGAAACATATTTAGAAGAATGCCTTAGGAAAGAAATGCTGAAAAAATAAGAAGAAATGGAGCCATAACTCGGTCTCCCTTGTAAAATCTGTTCTCGACACCAGACTCCGAAGAGAAAGAAGTTTCTTACCTCCAGGCCCAAGCGCAAAGTATCCGGAGTTCATGCGACAGAAAAATTGCGGGTGGTCGGTTCGGTATGCTACACTGTACACTTTCAGGTTGTGTCCACTCGGATCGTTAGCAGTGGAGACTGCTCACGGAACCATTCGTCTGATTTTCGGCAGCCTTCGACCTGTTTAGTGCAGCCTCCGACTGACGGCTTCACTGTGTTGTTTTTCTCATGTGTATCGAGTTTCGTGTGGTCCTGTTGACTGCAACTGGGTCTCAAAACCGGCCAGGTGTTCAGGTGTTGCCCACAACCTAGCGGTCAAGGCCCACTGCTGAAACTCCCGCTCCCCCATCCCCATCCCGAGTCTCCTGAAGCAACGATGATTTCGCGAAACCCCTTGGCATGCTTGCCCTCCAGAGTAGTATTAGTCCGTTGTTTTTCGAAGGGTGCTACTTCAGATATGGCAGTTTGTTCTTCATCTTCTGAGTAGCAGCAGACGGCGAGCGAGACCACAAGCTACCGGAACGAAACGCTCGTTTATTCCTTGCGTGTGCCCGTTGGCTGTTTCGGGAAAAAGGGAATCGTGAGGGGGAAGGAGACCTGCGTGGTCACTCACCGGACAGCGCGGAGTACGGCGTCGTGGGAGTCCAAGTCCACGAAGGCGTAGCCTCGAGAGGGATTCATGCTGGATGCGCCGCGCCGCAACAGGCGGTGCCGTGAGAGATTGAGCGGGGGGGGGCAGTGACAGAGAGAGAGAGGCAAAAACAGGCAGATCAAACGAGAGGGAGGGTGAGAGAGAGAGAGAGAGAGAGAGAGAGAGAGAGAGAGAGAGAGAGAGAGAGAGAGAGAGAGAGAGAGAGAGAGAGAGAGAGAGAGAGAGGAGAGAACGGACACCCACGATACCCCCCCCCCAAGACAGCACAGAGAGGGGGAGCAAAAGCACTGCAGCAGGAACTTCCGTTTCAACAACGTAGTACAACAGTTCAATCCCACACAAGATGCGCCCCATTCCCTGAGGCCTTCGGAACATCGCGAGGCACCACAAAACGCCGTGATTCGCAACAACCAAGAAGGGGTTGGTTTCGGGAGCCTTTTGCCCGGAAGGGCGATGGGACCCTGGGCTACCCGACAAGAACAGATGTATTCGCGGGTGGCACGTACATGGGACTCTCTCATATCAGCATTTCTGTGTTCATCATTACGCCAGGTTTCGCTTAGCCTCTGGCCACGAAATTGTTCAAGCAGGTGGGTTGGGACGTTCGAATGGAAGAGGAGGAAATGAAGCAGAGGGCAGGCCACCGTCTTTCCTGCCAAGAAGTAACACTCCAAACAACGGAACTGCCCCACGTCTCGCAGACATCTCACCTGACCGAAAGGACTTGGCCGAAGATCGAGAAGTGTTTGATCACGTCTTCCCGGTCGACTTTCATGTCAATCTGAACAAAAAGCGTGCACAGGGCGCCAGGGAGGCTTGGTGGCGTGGTCGATTCGATTCGCCTCATTTCCGAAGCGCGGCTGGCATTCAATCCTCCAAGGAATTTCAACGTTGTTGTACAGACAACTCTTCCCTCTTGTCCTTCAGAACTCCCGAGAAAAAAAACAAAATCCTCATTCCCACCGACCTTCAACGGCAAGGTCGACTCTCTTCCTCTGACCCCCCTCCCACTCCTTACATTACCACTTTTTCAACCTTCCTCTCTCCTTTACGATTCAACAAACATCTCTCCGTCCCTCCCTACTCCCCCTCCCGCACTCAGTAGCACAACATCCCTCGCCGACACATCTCCATCCCCCCTCACCTTTCTCACGAACAGCGTCGTGGGTCCTGCCGGGTCTCGCTGTCTCCACCCGGCAGCCGCAGCCGTCGGCACGAAGGCGGGAGCGGCCGCCGCAACACGGGTCACCGTTGGTGGGCGGGGTGGTAGAGGAGGCGAAGGGCGCGAAGACGTCGTCGACGACTGTTGGAATTTGTTTTTCAGAAACGATGTAAGGGGTCGGGGCTATGAACGACGCCAAAAGCGAAGACAGTTTCTCATGCAGGTCGGGCAGCGTAGGCTTAAAGATGAGCTAGAAATCGGTGCAACACACAGGGGTGGCCATGTGCCATCGTACTACAGTCAGCGCGGTCTACGCTTCCTTGACAAACGCCGACGCCGACGTCAACACACGGCCCGCGTGCCCCCACTAGGGGTCTGCGGAGCACAGACCGTCCGGGCTTTCTTCGTCCGGCGACATGATCGACGTCTTCTCATTGGTCGACCGGGAAGCGCGGTGATGTTCATATGTAGTAGAGACACACACAAGCACCCAAGCGTACAAATCGCGTGCACTTTTCCTGTGTCCCACAATATGTGAAACTACAATACTGCATTGATGTTGGCCAGCGCGTTAGCGCGGTCGAAGCGAGACTGAGACACACAAACACGAAACACGAGCATGTTTGCCTTTAGGTGGGTTTCCCGTCCTTCGCCGCACCGAGACCGAATCTTTTCATTGGTCGGCCGGTAAGTTCGGGCAGTGTAATGCCCCGAAGAAACAAAGACACGCACACGCACATCCCGAGAAGCACCCTTCCACGGAACGGATCAACATGGGACGGGTCAACACCAAGCTACCCGGTGAAACCGCCATCTGATCGCAAAAACCTGGCCATGGTCTGCATACGGCGACGCGGCACCGCAGCCACCGCACGCCCAGCAAACAGCAGCCAATCCACCAGGTTATCGTACCTCTGCTGATACCTCCGATTGCTCCACCGACCCGTCACCATTGCCACCGCTGCCACCCGAGCCTTCGACAACCATCGGGTCTGGCCCCGCCGCCGCCGCAACCCCCTCACCCTGCTGATGTCTTGCGACCACCCCCAAGGGGGGCACCACGGCTGGTGACACCCCCCCCCCCGTCGCCGAGTCCCCCATCGCCGCTGGTACCGAACAAAGACCACCACCACCCCCGCCACCGCTAGTGCTCCCGCCGCCGTCGCCGTCTCGCGGGACGGGCACTGCCACCGAGGCCGACCCCGCCGCCATTGCCGAGGATTGCATGGCGGCGAGGGCTGCTGGCGGTGGAAAAACGACCGCGTGATGAGGTGTCGCCGCTGCCGCAGCCGCGGGATCGGGCGGGCTGGTGCTCGGGTTCCCTTGCTGTCGGTAGTGTTGCAAGGACGACGACAGACCGGGGCGGCCGCCGCCGGTCGGCGTTCCGGCGGCGGTCGCATTGGCCCCGGTGACGGTATGCCCGCCGCCGCCCCTGATCGACCTGAGACAGAGAGGGAGAGAGGGGAAGGGGGAGAGAGAGAGAGAGAGAGAGAGAGAGAGAGAGATGGAGAGAGACAGAGAGAGAGAAGACAGACCGACAGTCAGACAGCCAATCAGAAAGACATACAGATATGCAGACAGACAGGCAAACAGGCATACAGACAGGCAGACAGAAGTATCACAGGCAGATTCACAGGAAGAAGGACAGCTTTACAAGCGGCGGTGAAAGCGGTACTGTTCTTGACGAGGCACTCGCCTTTCAAGTTTCGTGGCCCTCTGTAGCCATTTACACACTCTGATTGGGAGGGTTCGGCATGATAAACAACCGTGTGGGAAACTGATGGACAAAGAAACAAACGGGCAGACATGTGTGTTCACAAAAAATCGGGGAACGTCGTCTGTGAACTCAGATTTCAGGAGTGGTTTTGGGATGGAAAACAAGGACCGACGCCTGTCTCTGCCAGGAGAGGGGGTGGGTGCCACTCTTAATGCCATGCACGCTAAGAAGCGTCTTCACGGTTTCGGCTGCTGTTTTCGGTACTGGCCGATGAGGCCGTTGGAGGGATCTAGAGAGGCTGCACAGTACGGGAGAAACGAACTGTCGACAAGCCCTGAGCGTCAAAAACTCCTACCCCACTAGCGTACCCCCTTCGGTCTCAAAGAAGAGTGAGACTTGAAAGGAACACCCGAACGAGGACTTCGTAGAGGCGGTACCAGGTGTATCGGAGAGACGAACGGCAGACGTACCCTGAATCTCACAAGATGCTACCACTTACAGTAACCCCCTGCAATTGAAGACTGGGGTGTGGGGTCGGAGCGACCAGGAAATCACGGAAGAGGGTGTGTCGGCCGGCCTCGAAGGAGCATCGCTCGCTACTGACTTTGAAGGCGAGACGACCCCGCCCCGGTCGCCCTCAAATGCCCCATATACCAAAAAAATACCAAAAAAACAGACGCCTCTCCTACATCTCCCTTGTTTTGCGACATCCACACACGGGGGGCGAAAGGAAAACGACACCCCACCTTGGCGTCCTCAGCTTCGACTCGCACAGCGCCAGCAGCTCCTTCTTCTTGGCCGCCAGGGCTAGGATAAGCTCTCGGCTTACGGGAACCCGCGCGTCCCCCCCGAGCCGGATCGCGAACGTCTGGGAGTCGTCGTTGACGATGTGCATGTGCTACACGTACGTACAAGAAGCACGTGCCAAACGTGATACGAAAGCAAACATGGGGCGTCGACAAAGAGAGTCGCAGGTTGTTGAGTCCAGTGATCTGGAGCGTGCTTGCTCTGCATAACTGTTCGGCAATGTGGTACGTTGCCGTCTGGAGCGAAAAAGTGCGAGATATTGGTGCTGTCCGTTCCCCCCTTGTCCACCTCTACGCGCTGCGCTTGTTTCACACACACACACAAAAATCAACCAATTCTTTGTTTTTTCCTGTTCGGTGTTCGTCCTCAATTTCATCGCGATATCGGTTCGCGCGTCGTATTTCGTTCTCATTGTAAACAACGAAGTGGAAAAAAGGCCGGAGACGAACAACTATTCTTGACGACCAGGGAGCGACGGCAGCATACTGGATCAAACTACACTCGCTCGTTCTTCCTCGAAAGGTCCTTCGTGTTTCTAAACGTGTCTCTGCTCGGATAGCAATAACCAAAATTAGGCGAAAACCGACCGAAAAACACGCGCGGCGCAACCAAAGATTGGTGTGAACCCGACGATTTTCCACCAACGATTTAACGCTTTGTAACAAAACGCAAACCAACGTATAACCCAACCCAAAAACAACGTGAACCAAGACCCCTGTCTGCCACACAGCGATGTAGCTACGAAGGTTGCACCAGCGGTTAGCTGAACCTCGCACCTGGACGGCGCGATCCCATGTCTCATGAGATAGACCCCAGTCTAACAGCACAGCAGTGTAAGCTACGGAAGGCCTGCAGAAGCGGGTTGGGTTTCACCTCAAGGGCGAGGTCACCATTGCCTCAAGAGGATTAGACTCCCCTCTTTCTCTCACACCACAGCAGTACCTAGATACCAAGCTGGCTGTTTGCGGACACGGAGATTAGGGTGTTCACCTCAATGACGTCATCGATGTCTCGGGAGATTGTGGCCTGGCGCAGGAAGCGGCAGAACACCGCCCTCGCAAACGCCTCGCCCGCGTCATCGACCACTCCCGAGGCCGGTGCCGGGTGCTGTTGGTACTGCGACATGTTTGCCGCCCAGTATCCGTGCCCTTTCCCGCCAACCCGTACCCCTTATCCCTTGGAACCCCGCCTTCGTCGGTCTGCAGCTGCTCCCTGTCGCTCCAGGTATGCCGTTGCCCGTCCTGCAGCATTAGGTAGTTGGCGATTTGGATTCGGCTCATTATTTTCGGCTACTTACGATGTGCATGCATGGAGAGCAGAATATGCGTTGCTGGAGGGGAACGCGTCGGGTGGGGCCATGGCGGCAGTGGGGTTTGATTCTCCGGTTATCGGACAGCGTTTTTTGTCTGGCCCTGCTCCGTCCGGACGCTCCAGTGCCGTTTCTGGGCCTCGGGCCAGGGTAGCCATGGAACACACGGATCCATAGTAGACCGAGGAACCTCATGGTTGATGCTGTTGTTAAAGTTCCTGCTGTCCACTGCACCTGCTGAGCGTTCCATGTTTGGGAATTCGCAGCAACCGTTGTGGAGGCCGAAACCCCGAAACTTGGCCTATCTAGACTGTGTACACATGAGAAAGTCGCAGGGTGCTCATGGCTTGCCCTTGTGAACATTATCAGGGCGAAGAAACGCACACACACGGTGCACCAGTTGCTGTCGGGCCCAAAGAATACGAGGAACGCAATCCCGTTCACTGCACCTACTACGATGCCCTCGAGGCCTACCCGGTGCGTTGGAAACAAGGTCGGTGAACACGGATGTACACCGTGTAACGGTTCCTTCACGAAGAACTCAGGGCTAGAGCGCATGCTTCTCCCGTTATCGGGCGTCACGCTTGGCGAGAGTGCCCTGCTGTAACCATGTTACAATCGCAAAAGAACGAGGGAAGCTCAACCTTTCAACACCCAACCACGGGCTGTGCGGCTGCTGCTGTTCGCGCTCCAGAGCAGTTACGTGCCCCCCGTCGTGGACAACGCCAGACGCGGCGCAATTCCACGGAAGAAACTGACTTGCAAGTCAACCACCAGCTCGTCGGCGGGTTGTGCCCTGCGCTACACTTCTACATAATAAAGCAGTAACATCAAACGTAATCAAGCACGACACCATCATAGCCCCTATTTCGCGGTCCAGTATGCGCTCACGAGAGGAGGGGTGAGGGAATGCCGAGGGACATCGCTTTCGACGGCAGTGGGTGTGGGCGTCGACTCATCCGCACGATGGTTCACCCACTGAGTTCTGTCGGATTTGAGAGCTGTACTGTTTTAGGCGAAGAAAGCAATCATCCATCAGACAAGAACGGGCATGGCATACTTAACACTCAATCGGTGTACTCACCTCGTGTATTGGTGCGGGATGTGTGAGCGTGTGTGCCGGGCAGAGGTAGCGGTAGAAACACAGCCGGCAGGCCAGCTGGGAAAGAAAGAGCGGGACGCATGCACCAGGGGGGCACACAGACAGAAACAATATTTACATACCCCTTTATGTTCCCAGACCTCACACCGCCGAACCATTCGACTGCCGAACGGAAGCACACGGCCGAGAGGCGGCCAGCTGCAAGTGCCACTTGAAGCAACCGGAAAAGCTTCGGGTCTCACAGCCGGATCTGCGATCGTGAGACGGACAAAGGCGTAGCAGGGAGAGGAAAGGTACCCCTGTAATCATGTCTGAGTTGCGGCGGAGACCCATGCGGGGCAATTCAGACGCATCGGCGGCGCCAGGACCAGGATCGACAGCAGCGGTCCCGCCTCCCGTTGATGCCCCGAAAAAGAGCAGCGGCTGCCCAATTCAAGTCAAGAGCGGTGAGTCCGTGTGCGAGCGTCGTGCCGGGCCCAGATGGGGTGGTTCACCGGGCATAGGGTGACTACACTCGATGCAAACCTGAAACTTGCAGGGAGGCGTTCAGATTTTTTGACAGCGGTAACTCGCGCACGAGCGGGCGTGTGACTGCTGCCGCGCCGGTGGCCTATGCTCGACAACGCATTCTTGGCGAAGACAACCGCTACTCCAACATCCCCGTGGCTCAGCATTGGGGAGCACCCAGCAAAAGCGGTCGGTGGCCACGACATTGGTGTTGAAATGCGGGATGATTCCGGGAAGAAATCGTTTGTCGTTTCTTGTCTCCTCGCCGCATGGTCACTTGGCCTTCGAAGACTCGTGTACTGTCGCCCAAAGGGGACTTGAGGATACAGCCCTCGAGTCTGTTTTTCGCGCCGTAGTCGTCCTAGGCTCCGCTGCGTGAACCGCCCGTGAGAGCCCTTCGCCTGTCATGCTTTTGGGTGAGGTGGTATGCTCCGTGATTGTTGTTCAATTTTGACCCCCTCCCACACCTCCAGGAACGTACTACTACGTCCGGAAGGCGGTCGTCATCCTCTTCCCGGCCTACATCCTGTGCTGCATGTTCGGGGTCCTGGAGCCCCCTCGACCGATGGCGGAGCACACCTGGGACGCGGCCATGCTGGCGCTGGGCAGAGGCCCGCGGGTCTTCTCCGCCGCCGAGCTGAAGGCCAAAGGGTCAGGGTCGCGGCCGATGCTAAGGTGTGAGACCCCCGCACGCGCCCGCACCCCCTTAACGAAGAACAGCGTGCAACATGCCTGCCGTTGCTGGTTTCGTTTCCTTTCTCGATTTGATGGGAGCTGTGTGTGTGGCTTGAGGGTGTACGTTTTGCTTGCTGTGGAGAGGACCTTCAGGCCTTTTTGTTTTTGTGTTTCCTCTTCGTCGGCGTGAAACCCCCACCCGTCTTTCTTGGAGAAGATGATGCTGTACCGGCATATTACACTCGTGTGGCTAGGCCTTCTTCGCCATACCTCCCCGATCGACCATCTCTGGCAAGACATCCAGTGTGTGATACATGTCCCATCTTGCTCTTTGGGGCGGCGCGTGTCCTGCGTTTCACAGCATCCTGGGAGAGGTGTTTGACGTGTCGAAGGGCGCCAAGCATTACGGCAAGGGGGGCGCCTACGAGAGCTTCACCGGGAAGGACGCCTCCCGCTCTTTCGTCAGCGGAAACTTCACAGAGGTATGATAGGTGTGCGTATACCGATAATATGGGGATGAGTAACCCCCCCCTTCTGTCTCCTCTGGGCACCACGAAGACCTACCTGATCTTCGCATGGGGCGTTTTGCCATCACGGCCATGAGAAAAGCCTATGGACTCTGAAGCCTTAGCTGCTTTCGGAACGTTCCCGCTCAGACACACTCTCCCGATTTCCGAACCCCGAGGGTCGTCTCTTGTTTTCCTTTGAAATATGACCCAACAGGGTGGGGGGAACATTGTATCGTATTGTGGGGCACTTAAGATTGGGAGGAGACATGCTGTGTGGGACATGTGCTGTCCGTTGTCCTCCTGTGTCCGTTTTTGTCGTCCGCGTTTTTTCGTGTTTTTCGTAGCCGCTTGTTTTCTCCGTGTGTGATCATGAGGGCTGTCATTTTCTCACGGCTGACATCAAATGCTGATGTCGACATCAAGCGTCTTGTTGCCAACCAGTCGATGCTCGATCCGGTTGCTTGGCGTCACCGTGAGATTGCAAAATCTGTTCGTTTGTATGTGTTTGTCTTCACACGAAGTTCGGGATTTAGTGGGTCGACAACCCACCCGACGCCTCGTCCTCTTGCCGCCATCGTGGTCGTTTATCGGTCGCGTTACGGGATCTTCTTTTTCATAGGCCGGCTTGACCGATGATCTGTCGGGGCTGGAGCCGTCGAAGTGTCTTGGGATCAAGGTCGGTGAAAGAATACGGCAAATGGAGGAGATGCATACTCGTAGACGCACCGACAGGGGAAAATAGGTAGCGAAGGGATTTTTCATAGAAGGCTACGGGAAAAGTACCGAAGCAGGAAGGACAGAAAATACAAAGTACCAAATCGAGAGGTTTGATTCCGTATAGAATTATCGACAGAAGAACAAACGATGCAGTTCACTGCTGCTCAACAAAACTGTTTTCGGTTTGACGTGGCGTTACAAGGTAGACGGGGGTTAGCGACGCCGGCGCACCAGTTCCTCGTCGCCATGCCTACCAATTGCACGCCGACCCTCGGATTCGGGGTCCAGGAAGAAGGAAACCCTTCGATGCACGCCCTCAGTGTTTCGCTGTGAGGCACGGACGACGGCATCACCAAGCACCACGAGCAACAACAAAGCACAAAGTTGTCGATCTTTGTCGTCGCCGTTGTCGTCCTTTTGGTCGTCGCCGTCGCTGTCATAGCTTCCGCCGTCATTGTTGTTACAAAGCCACCAACAAGTTCGAACATCCCCAAACCGTACGAAGCCTTGGCCTTCAACGCAAAGTTTCGTGCTTCTTTCTTTTCGGTGTCTTCTTAGAAAGCGAACATCATGCATGCGCGTGCTTCTCCAGGACTGGCACGAGTTCTACCAGAACCACGAGCAGTACAAGAAGAGGGGGCTGCTGGCGGGGCGGTTTTACGACGCCAACGGGAAACCCACCCGGGAGTTGGCGCCCTTCCACAAGTGCCCCAGGAAGGGAACGAAGGAGAAGGAGCGGGAGGCTGCCGAGAAATTGCTGTGGGTTCCCATTCGGGAGGGGGGGGGGGGGGGGGGTTACTCATAGTCGTGCATGCCGTAGTCGTTTGACCATTGACCTCGCATCCCTACAAAGCCGGGACGGAGCACGCCGGGTTCTCACCGGACCAGGCTCTCACATCACCAAGCGCGAAGCGCCGTGAGGTATTCGGCGAGTCGCATGAAGAGTGAGCTGCATCCTGCTAAGGGTGTTCGGCATCTTGTGCTTACTTCCTTGCGTACGGATGACAGCTGCGTATGACTTAATTTATTTTCTGGTGCTTTTACTTCCAGAGACAGTTTTAAGCACTGTGTAACTGCCTCGAGGATGCTTGACCAATTTAACACAACGTGGTGCGATCATCCCCCTTGCGCGGAGTGAGGTTTCTCCACCCCGCACAACATGATCTACTCGACCACCATTATGGTTACCGCCAAAAAAAAAACAGAGGTACAAAAAAACCCGGTAACCTGGTTGCCGAGTTCACGAAGTGAATTGGCTTGTTTTACAACGTCGTTGCCAAGCGACGAAAACCCAATCCCGATGGCAAACACCGAGGGGGGGGCTTGTTTTACAACGTCGTTGCCAAGCGACGAAAACCCAATCCCGATGGCAAACACCGAGGGGGGGGCTTGTGTTACAACGTCGTTGCCAAGCGACGAAAACCCAACCCCGATGACAAACACCGGGGGGGGGGCGGGGGTTCTGGCAATTTAACCAGAAACCAACCAATTCACTCAAATCACCAATGCATTTCAACACGAGCATGTGGGGGTGTCGTATCATTTTGTCTGTTTTCCAGCGGTCTCGGCATCCCGGTTTGTTTTTTCGTCGATGGTTGCAATTTTTTCTTCAATCCTGTGAGCGACCAGCTGCCAGCAGGTGACATTTAAACGGCAGCCGTATGCTGCAATTTCCCGAGCGAGATTCGTGAAGAGCTCGGTCCGGCAGCAGTATTTCTGAGCCAAAAACCATTCCAGAACCGTCGTACTGTTGTAGCGACTTGGAACGACACCAGTTGTTTGCGTCTCAAGCGTGTTTTGATCGACGGCAGCATGTTCAACGGTAGCATGAATAAGGCTCATTGTTGTTGCGCATCTCTCGGACGAACGCGGGCAAGAGTAGCACTTCGTTCTTCCTCGCGACACAACTCGTTGTGGAAGCGCTTCTGTTTCGACACCACACCACACCGACCCACTCACTCGCAACCCCGGCACTCATGTGCTTACAATTGTTCTCAAATTGAATTTTGTAACCGCACGTACGTCATAGATGTGGTTGCTTTTTCGTTTATTTTTCTTACGGACCCACAACTTATTCATCTCTTCCGCAGGTAAGTCCGGGATAGAATTTGCAATTAATTCATTGCGTTGCATGATGACCAACTTGCTGTTCTTCTACGGTTCCCCAAGCGGGCAGTACACAGCGATATTTCCCGTGTGGGTACGCGTCTCAAGAATACGTTGTTTTTGCGGTGACTGTTTCCCTCCCGGCCAGGTACCCCAGCTGCAACAGCAGGTGGTCCGCGCCCGAGGGGGGTCGGGTGTGGTGCGAGGACGAGAAGAAGGTCCCCAGAAAGTTCGCCCCTGAGAACGTACACGGCGCAGGCATCCGGGAACAGGGAGAGGGGTCGTCGCAGCCGAAGAGCGGCGCCACGACGCAAGCGGCGGAAGCGGCAGGGGGTGGGAGCGGGCTGTCAGGAGAAGCTGAGGCCAGCACGGACGCTGCGAAGGTGAGTGGTATGTGGGTGGAGGGTAGGTTTTCCCTGAGATGCTTAGGGGATGATGGACTCAAGCTCCTTGCTGCTTCTCCTGCTGCTGCTGGTGGTGTGTGTGTTCCTGCCGTAGAGCCGACGTCACCGAACGTTCTGTGGGTTCTACCACATTACCCACGCAACCTTCTATGCAGATCCTCGTCGCAGAGGCGCAAGACCCGTCGTCGTAGACTGGCACATCAATAGGCAAGAGTACATGAGGGCTCGGAGTATTCCACGGCCTGGTGCCGTCTTCTTTGGCGAAGGAGTGCAAGTTTGCGGCTTCTGGCTAATGGTATCACACTGCCTATTCATGTGTTTTGTCGTTCTTGTTCTCCTTTCCGTGTCTCACGTTGTCCGTCTTCATTTTCTCGCGTACGTCGCCTTCCACCTCATGCTGAGCACCCAGGTCAAGGGCAGGTGCAGCTGTTTCGATGTCGACTACGCCAAAGCCAACGAACATCGTCTCCTAAGGTGATGTCGTGTCGTGCAACTCAACCGCCCCGATTCACAGGGACTTGTTCGAACTTCTTGGCATGCGTAGCTGCGTCGAAATTGACGAAACGCGTGGGGTAGTCGTATGAATGCCAAGTGCCGACGACACGCGGGGGCGAACTGGGCGGTAAGTGGGCACCCGCGATCCTTTTGACCTGCAAGCTGGCCGCAAACGTTTGAGTCTTGTGCGCACGTTTCGCGTACCTCTTTTCCTGTTCGCATGCGCGTTGGCAATTCTCAAATACCACACACACACGTTTGGCACCAAAATCTTCGGATTGTGCGCTTCACGCGGTACCGAGGGGTCGAAACGTCGTGTGACTTTTGTTTTTGACGTCAGCCAACTTGTCATCGACCCCCGACCAACACCACCCGTCCCTCTTGGTTTGCGTGCGCTCTCTGTTTTCTTCATCGATTCCGGCGCGTCGCAGCTACGGCGGGTGTGCCCCAGAATCGAACTCGTGCATGACTAAGCCCCCTGAGGCCCCGGGACTTAAGCAGAAGTCGAAGCGGAGGCCGAAGCACGCATAGAGGTTGCACACAAGGTTGTCGCCGTACGTACGAGTACAAAGTGGGGCGGTCTTGATAGCGCAGGACGTGAGATGACGTTCGAATTTTGGCGGTCCCGATGCGGGGGTAGTTGTTACCTGTTCGGACCTGCGTCGGGATATTGGTCGTCGCATATTTGTCGTTGTTGTCGTGATTGTTTGGTCGAAAATCCTCGTCGGGAAGGCTATGAAACTCCAATTCACTCGCCGCTACATTGACATTCACACGTTGGTTCTGGTTTGTCGCTCCCCAACCAGCAGGTAGGATATAGATAATATATTGTAGGGTGACATATTGCAGCGGTACGTTGGTGCACAGAAGGCAAGCCCTTGCGCAATACGGTGGCAAAGTAGACAGCATGAGTAGGTATTTCCGCGAGGTGCATGTAACTCGTCGGCCACGACGTCCATCCAATAGATGTACAGCTTTAGATGGTCATAGCCTCAAGCTTCGGTTTCGCGCGAATTTCAATTTTCCCGGCGCAACGCCTTCACTCGTTTCTTCGGCGCGAATGGATATGAATTATGCAGTACCCTGTGTCCTTTAATTTTCGATTTTTGGTCTGCGCACGCTGCACCATTCGTGGGTGCCCGCAGTTGACTTGATTCACTCCGACGCACGATACACACGGGCCTTTGCCACCAAGGCCCATGCCCGAAGGCCCAGGGGGGTACTTCTGTTGAGAGCCTCCCGCTTGCCATTATCTGTTGGAGGCAGCCTACAGCAAGATTGACCTGCCCAGACCTGTCGTCGAATTAGTTAATAGTTTCCTTAAGGTCGCTCCCTTAAGCGGTTGGTCGTAATCAGAATGATCGGTCCCTCCATTCTCAGTCCCTCCATTCTCAGTCCCTCCACCGACGTCTTTTCTCGGGTGCTTCTTTTCGCCGAAAAGAGTCTGGAAGAAGCCAACAATATTCCCCCTCACGTAGCCCTTATGAGCAACCGACGGCTTGCGCAGTCTACTCATCTCAAAACTCAGCTACGATGTTGGGGCTGGGGAAGCAATGGCCGCCTCCGTGACGAACACGAAGCCCGGTACGGGCATGCCGGCATTTTTTCTCAAGATGACGTCGCTCGATGCTAATACGCTGAACCCGGCATCCCGGCACACCATTTCCAGGTACTCGCGACTGTGACTGTACCTGCGCGCAGGAAACGGCACAACGTACAACAGAACAACGGGGTCGACTGGGAACTTTGCGCAGCGGGAAGGCATCGATATGTCCCGACCCCCCCACAACAGGGGGTCGGGCTTTCGTCAAGGTATTTCGTGTTCATACGCCTACCTCATGGTCCGGCATGAAGACGGCACCCTTCTCTGCAGTCCGAGCGCACGGCTTGCCGACAAGACAAGCCGTGGGTCCTGTCGGGACTCCCTAGACGTCTTGACCTCTTACATAAAATTGTGCGTAGCGAGTCGCGCTGTTTGATGGACCAAAGATAGAGGGTCCAATGCCAGACCGCGCAATCCCAGACTCCAACATGGTGCTGCTGTAGGCTGCAAAAAAAAGTAGAAGCGATTGCTCGTTGCTGAAGCGAGGAAGTACTCTTCCGGGCGTCCACGAATACCCGATCTTCCGGGTGCACCCGTTCAATCGATTGCACACTCTCCTGCCGTCCTCTCACCATGGTACTGGCCATGTGTGCTAGCGGCCATGGGAAGTTGTGTAGGTCTCCAAGGACCACCCAGGGCACCTTTACGTGCCACGAGAGGGGGGGTCAATCCCAGATTCGCGAAACACCTCCCATTCATGCTCTCACCAAGCCATGCCAACCACCTCTGGAAGAGTAACACACGCACCTGCCAGTACCCTGTAGCTCGTACCCCCTGTGGCTAGGGTTGGCAGCATCGGCCGTTGTCCTTTTCTCGGCCCCCGAATCTCCGGCGTCTGCCGCCTCTGGGGGTGGCGCTTCCGCCGAGAAGGCGAAAACAGCGGCAGGTTTTTCCCGCCGTGGATCTCTTCCCGCGTCCGTTTCCGATTCCGCGGAAGCTTGGTCTCCGGCAACCAACTCGCGCACGGCTTCGAAGCAGGCTCGAAGGTCGCCGATGTAGACGAAAACGTCGCACGATAGGATCAGATCCCCCCCACCAATCCCGTCGCTGCTGCTGCCGCCGCATGAGCCACTACCTGTTACAATTGGCGCCGACGGCAGCGTCGCCAACGTCGCAACTTCCGTTGGTGGTACTAGCTCGCCCTCATCTTCAACCGATGCCTCCCCCGCCACGGTTGTCCCAGGTAACATTTGGCCAGTTCCACCGCCATCCCCGCATCCCCCTACCGCCACCGCTGCCACGGCCGCTCCCCCCTCTTCCTCAGCCATCGCGGGTACTTCCCACCGTGCGCGCGGGTGTCTGGCGGACAACCCAGCCCCTGGTTCCGATGCCGATTCGCTTCGGCTACTCAGGCGCCTGACAGTCTCGGTGACTTCACCAACAAGAAGGCGGTGGTAGACCCGCTTCTCCCTCGCTCGGAGCACCATGGCAGGGCTGAGGTCGACGCCGACCAGACGCCGGCAGACGGAGGACGCCGCCCGGCCCGACAGACCGGTGCCGCAACCTAGGTCGAGGCACCTGTCCCACCTATTGTCAGTGTTGAGCATGCGTCGAAACAAAGCATTCACTGAAACATTCCTCAACAGTTTCCCTTCGACTGTTGGGGTACCATCTCGAACGGGTCGTTTTTCTGTGATTGAAAGAATATTTTCAATAGCCAACCTTTGTGGAGAGGGGGGAGAGCGTGATCGTTCCGGCTGCTAAGACACGGGCTATCGACAGGGGCCATCGGGAAACGGATTTCCGGGTCAGCGTGTCGGCGTGCGCACACGCAAACCAAGCCATTTCCCATCATTTAGGGGGGTAGGAGAAAACTGCACGTCGACGCAGGTCGGGGAGACATGGCATTATGTGGACATGCAACCGGTGGACTTCGACCGATTTTGAAGGAAGTGAACCCTCACGGTTACGCACGATAAACGTTGTTAATTGGTTGGCCGTTGCACCCTCGAAGAGGCTTTTAAAGCCATCAACACACCAAAAACACCTTCTATCCTCGAAGAGGCTTTTGAAGCCATCAACACACCAAAAACACCTTCTATCCAAGGCCATACTAAAAACCAAGGCCTAGCCAAAACCGGAGTATCACATATTCCAGCAAAATTCGTTTCGCATGTCTACTCATTGTCGTGTCGGCGCCAGAGAGCAACGGAGAGGCCTCGTTTTTGCGCCCGAACCGAAGCAATTTAACCTCCCCGTTATTTCTCAGAAAACACACGAAACAAGAGGGAGCGTGCACCCCCTGACCTTCTCCCAGGAAACAGCCGGCGGAGGTTTTCCACGATGACGGTCGGCGTTCTGTACTCGAGCGCCCCCTGCAAGTGCGAGTCGAAGGTCTCCGCGTAGGAGTTGTAGAGGCCAACGACGTACTCGCGGGGCGCCGAAGCGGGACTGGCAGGGGTTTCCATTGCGTTATCAACTGCAGCGCTGCCCTCTCCAGGACCAGCTACATAGCCGCCGTCGTGTGGCTCTGCAAACGCCGTCGGAGGAAGCATGGGCGACCAAGCAACAACCGGATGAACACTACACCAACCACGGGAGACCAGCACTTTTCTGATTGCATTACAAAACATGAAGAGTCCCTGTGCCGCCTTCATCCTGTGTGACCCTGGCTGATACGTCGAATACATACCGAAAGACGAATAGACGGGATGAAACACACAATCAACCGCGCTCTTTTCGGCACCGACGGAAAACAGAATATGCCCGCTGCAGCAGCACTAGCCAGCAGCACCAGCAGCACCAGCACCAGTAGCATTGGAGTGCGAACTTTCTTGTCTTTTCAAAGCAATATATCTAACACAGCCCGTTTTTGCCTGACCTTCAAGTGCTACCAAAACCAGAAGCGATTAACATGGTTGGTGTGAACAACTTGTTCCCATACACTGAACGGCCAACAGCACACTTGCTATCACAAACGTTCAACCATTCGATACTCGGGGGATCAAGGGGGCCATCGGAACCACTGCTGTCTGCGGGTCCGATCGGAGCGCATCACTGCTGACCTCAACGTCGACACGGCCCGCCAACAATGTGTGAGCCACAATACCACGCTATACACTGTACGCCAGCAGTCTAGGGTGGGTGCCATGAGCCCAACTCGAAGCGACCGCACAGGGCCCACAAAGCGTACGCGAAAGCAGCATGCTCAACACCCACCAGTCCAGGCTAAAATAGGGTTATGTTGGTTCGACGGCCGCGAACCGCCTCGTCGAATACCCCTTGCGAAGGCTGGTGCGGAGGGAGAGATTCGTGAACTGTTGCGGTTGTTCGACAAGTGCGCAAAGCGACTTTGAAGCCCTGCGCCTTCGCCGACACGATGAACACAAAAAAAGAACAACGTGTGCATGCGTCTGTATGCATACCTCTCAGTGTAGACGCGGCGAGCTTCCGTGTTGCCGGTAGCCAGAACGCCGCCAGCACGTGGCCCCGGTCGAGCTCCAAGCATCGTGCGTACGCCTGCGCGGCCTGCGCGAAGTAGACCGCGTCTCCCATCGACCGCAGGTGCTGGCCCAGCTTGTACTGCACTTGCGCCTGTGTGCCCACGTCAGCGGAGGCGGCCGCTGACGCGGCTGTTAAGAACGCGGCGGTTGCCTGGTCCCCGCGGCCCAGCTGTCTAAGGGCGGAAGCAGCTGTGTGCGGGAGACGTGGGGCGTGATTTTGCGGGCGTGAGTTGAAGAGTCAAGAAGGGGAGGGAGGAAGGGAGAAAGAGAAAGAGAGAGAGAGAGAGAGAGAGAGAGAGAGAGAGAGAGAGAGAGAGAGAGAGAGAGACAGAGAGAGAGAGAGAGACAGACAGACAGACAGACAGACAGAGACAGAGACAGAGACAGAGACAGACAGAGAGAGACGGCGACGACGCTCGGTCACAGGGTCCCAGATTGTGGTCAATAGAAGCATTTTGTGTTTTCACCGCACTGAGACGGAGGTATTTGCACTGGTCAGCCGGTTAGCGCGGTCGATGCATATAAATAAGACACACGGAGAGATCAAGTCCTTGTTCTAACTCCCTCAAGCCCGCTCGTCTTACATCCCATGGGATCAGAGGCTACACGTTGCATGGAGCTGGGCATGTTCCCTTAGAGCAGAAACAGCGCGGATTCGATCGCGGTGCGCGTACACGCCCCCTACGAACAAGGCCCCCGCTGTACGCTTGACTACTCCCAAAAACCTCTCACCCCCAAGGTGGTACTGCACGTTCCCGGGGCTCACGTCCAGGGCCTTCTCGTACACCGCCAGAGCTCGACCGAAGCACTTGTTTCGGCACAGCAGTGATCCCGCCATGAGCTGCACGGACGGCAGGTCTGGTCGGAGGCGTGCGGCCTGGCAAGCATCCTCGGCGCCCTCCTTGGGCCTGCCGGCCCTTTGCGACGCTACGGCGCGCAGGTACAGCCCGCGTGCGTTACGAGGAGCGCTGCGCAGTACGGCGCTGCACAGCTCCGCTGCTTCGTCCAGCTTGTCCTATACGTGAACCGGTCAAACGTAACCAGGAGCCAAAGCACCGCGTGTTTAATACTCGCGCTTTTAGAAGGCGAAATCAAACCATTGGACTGTGCACATAGTCAGCGCTGACTGCTGTAGTCTGATGGTTTCATTCCAGTTTTTTACCGCTTCGTTGTCATGCGAAAAGCGTTGATGCTACAGTAGATCCTGACGGCAGGCACTCTCACAACACTCCTGAGGGATGGCAGAACACGAAATTTGATGCTGACAATTTTGAAAACAAACGCAAGAGCACCAGAAATGGCACACGAGAGACACAAGACCAGTCGGAAGGCATCGCAAAAGACAGAAATCGCTGATTCTCGCACAGGGCGGCAGTAGAGGCTTCTCAAAAGATACATTTCATGCGTCTACCTCCACATGCCTCCTTGGAAACCAAGAAAAAAATCACACCATCCTCAAGTCAGAGCCAAAACGACAGGCGCTCAAATGAGCTCTGTGTCGCCAATAACCTGGTGCATAGTACTCATATCACTAGAGGACATCCTAAAGCAACGGGGGGTGCGTGTTGGCGCGCTCAAATCTGCTTCTGTGGTGGTGATATCGAAGGTCGTAGCAGCGGCCTACAATCTCCGCAAATCTCCGCAAATTTGACCGACACCCGTGCCTTCTACTGCTTGTGCTCGCCGCCACTGACCCCAATCTCCTGAACTGGGGATTTACAGCAGTAGCTGATGCCACTGTAATAGGTACTGCTGACAACCTTCCGTTTAGGGGTTTACAGTCCGTGGCGGCGAGCTCGGCAGTGACGGATGTAAAATTTTGGATGATTTCGGACTGTTTTCAGAGGTTGCCGCGATCTTCGATATTTCAGCTCCAGTAGCAAACCTGAACGTGCCAGCACACACGGCACCTCTTGATGGTGTCCTCTACTGACCTTAGTACTAATTACCAGGTTCCAGGCGGGAAGGTTGTTTTCTTTCTTTATGTTGGATTAAGGTGTGAGAAAAAGAGCCAGCGTCAAAACCCCTATTCTGCCCCCTTGTCTGCACAAGTACGAACGTGTTTTCTTCGAAAAAGGTCTCCTCTACTATTGCTGTACTGTAGACATGAATCTATGGAGTGGAACATAGTTACATTCTGACACTCCACTCAATAGGGTGGGATCACGCTACATCGAACCCTCGTTGGACATGGTTACTGTCACTCCACCCAATAGGGTGGGGGCGCGCGACGGAGACAACGTCAATATCTCTGATCGAGGCTCAATCTCTGTTTTCGTCGCCGCCATCGTCGACCACAGGTTACTTCATCAGTAGAGCTAAGTCTAGGACCCACTGCTGAACGGAGCTCCTTAGCCAATACCATCCCTTGATTGCGGGCTGCTGTACCCTCTGCCACGGGACAGTCAGATTTCGGTGAGTGGTTTACCCACGAGCGCTCCTACGTGCACATTTCTCGCCCGCAAGCACCGCTTACCTCTTGAAGACACTGCCAAGCTCGGTCTAAGCTCTTTTTTGAATCCGACATTTATGGCGAAGAGAGTAAGGGCGAGTCCCCTTGGTAAGCGGTGGTTGTTGTGCGCGTGCGCGCGTGCTGTCTCTCTGACTCTGACCTTTCTTCTCCTTTATGCTGCACGCAGAAAAGCCAACAGATCGTGGTGAACACCCCGGGGTGTGGTTCGGAATATTTTTCGTGCCGTTCGGAACGATTCCGCCGCATTTCCGTGCTCTTGTCGATCTCGGGATAGCTATCTGGGGAAGCTCTCGGAGCTCTCTCGGGAAGCCATGTCTGCAATCTGTAGTTATTTTGATAACAAGGAGGCCATGACTATGAAATTTTTGTTTGTGAAAGGCAAGGTACATGGTAGAGAAGGTTCACAACGCGCGTTAGGAACTGTTACGATCCCGATCGATTTGTTACTCCGGAGTATGCTCGTTCAACCCTTTTTGTTCTTATGAAAAGTTGGCTGTAAAATCAAAAATCAATCCTGGACTGTAGGACAAAGCGTTCGGGCAAATGATCTGCTCGAGCAGCACGCATAAAAGCACCGTGAGTGGTTGAGAAGGGTCAGGGTTTCCTTTGCACACTACAGCAGCAGTATTCGTAGCTACAGCGAGTACACCTGGAGACTTTCGGGCGATGCGCCTATGTACAGATGCCCATGTGTTTCTTTTTCTGGTCCATCTCATTCACGTGCAGGAATCTGTCGCCATCGAGCGGTAGAATGATGATTGCTGAAATCATTCATCTCGGCCAAATCAAAGGCGTTCGGGACAATTCGCACCCATACAAAATCGCGCCGAGTGTCAATGCCACATCGCCGTGTGACTTCCCTCCCTGTCCACACCCAGTTCCTGCCTGCTTTGTTTGGGGTCTTCAACCAAGTGAGTCCATGTACCTTACACGCTGTGAACCGAGGTCGTCTCCAGACCCAGATGTCGTACCTACAGTACCTTCCACAGTCATGTCGCCCTGTCGTGCCTTAGATACGTCCCAGGTAGTTCGAGTCCATTCAACGCGGCGTCCGCAGCAGAACATCGAGTACGATCACAAGTGATGGCATTGGACACCGTGCCCGGAAGCGTTCATACACAGAGCTGTGCGATGTGCCGTGTTGACAAAGTACGAAGCTGGTGCCTCGAGCCCCCCCTCCGGTTTGGTGGCACCCGAGATCAGTGTTGTTGCAATGCCACGGCAACGATGCTCCACATTGGTTTATTCCGAAATGAAGACCGTCATAATGCGCAAGAATACGGCATGATACGCGAACCGTTGTAGCGTTAGAATGACAAGCAACTGGGTACCACCCCGGCGTGAGATGTGAGTGGCGCAACGTGGGCAACGTGGGTGCTATCAAGACTCTCTTGATCTGGCGCTGATTCCACGTATGACCAGCCTCCCTTGGACTCACCCGATGATTATCTTTCCGGGAGCGCATCATCATCACCACCATCATCATCATCGATAAACACTAGCCCGTATAGACACCATCGAATTATCGAAACCCAGCAATTCCGGCCACACGGCAACTCCTTTGTCGGTACGTCATCGGGCAGCCTCGTTCTCTACCGCAGCAACATCCCTTGCAATACGTGGCGAGCTTGTCACCGTCGCAGCACCTTCGTCCAACACCGAAAAGCCGCGGTACATTTCGTAAACATGTGCACACCTACGCAGAGTTTCGGTGGAACTGTTTCCCTTCGCCTCTCGGCGAGACCCAGCCACCATGCCAATCCAATCCAACATCACGTTTGGCGTTGAACGAAGCTGATCATTCAGTTGATACCACATCCGTTCTAGGACCGACGGTAACCTTCCTACTGTACAAAAACATATTCAACATGCGACCTAATTTGGTCAGGGTCTGGCACTTTTTCAAGTCCACCGTATGAACTCCCGGTAAAATATCGGTTAAATGTGCACGGAACAAATTTGAGGGCAACGGACAGGCTATTTGAGATGTGCGGTTCAGATCATCGACGTACACGGAGGGGCCGCTACAATATGGCATTGTCGGGAGGACGGAAGTTTGTTTCGCTTGTCAACGCTGAGAGAAACTGAACTGTGATTCGTTTCTCAGTAAACCGGGAGTGTATCGGTACTTTTGTCGTGCTTGTTTCACGCATGCCGTGAATGTGTCACGCCGCCAATCACCAGCCTTGACGCCATTGATGTTTGGAGCACAACACAATTTGAAGCACTCAACATGTGCTAAGCTTGTCCTGGTGTATGGTAGTCGATAGCCAAACACAATATTAACGCAGGTACTCTCCGCTACCGTCAACTTGACACCTCCTTCGTCGGCATTGCCGCACTCTCTCGCAGTATTCCTGCTGCTCCAACACAAGGATGAAGAACAAGTGTTTTCAGAAACTGGCGTTGCCGCTGCTCGTAGCTGGCGCCTTGAGCGGGTTCGCTGCAGTAGACGGTGAGTCCTTGGTTCTGTGCCAACATGTTCGAGGGTTGTTTGAATTACTTTCGCTGTCGACCACGGATTCGATTTTCTGTTGGTTAGAGCCTTCGGAGATTTCCTCTGTTGGCGTTTTCTGCCGGTCCTAGGAGTATGCATGAGATTTGTTGTTTAGACCTAGAGATAGCTTTGCAGAGAGAGGTCGTCAAAACAGGTGTACGGCTTTTGCACACGTGCTGGATGGCTTCCAGCACGTATGCGCAACACATGTGATACTGTCGTACTTGAGAACGCGCGCATCGAACCTGTGCACGCATTACCTCCAATGGCACCATGTGGATGTAGAGTGAGTACCTGCTGTCTTTCAAACTTTGTGGTGTGTTTTTGGCACTTCTCCGGGTTCGCCTGTAGAGGTAGGTATCACGGTGGCCCCACGGCTACGAAGGTCGATACGTTGGAAAGCACGGTTGCGGTCACGATACCCACGACTGTTTTAGGATGCTCCCACTCTCTACACCTCTTCATGCCCCTGTACTCCCAGAAACTCCAGGTTTTCATGGAGTCCGAATCAATCCTCTTGTGTTGTTTCGTAGTGCACGGTGGACGACCAGTTGCTGATATTTTCTAAAATGGACATTCACAATCATTGCGATCAGAACCGGTACCTGCAAGCCCGGCTCGACGAACAAAAATCCGGGGCCATCTCTCTTAGGGCTTTCAGACCCTCGGCACTGTGAAAGTGGGCAGTCGTGATGCCATGCATTGGTTGACCGAATGAAAAGCGTTTGCCGCCCACATCCCTCCTCCCTCTCCCGTATTTCCTCTTCTACTTCTCTCGGTGACCTCTCCGGCAGCCATCAACCCCTGCCTCGACCCTGAAGCTATTGAACACAAGTGCTGGCTCAACCCGGGGGAACTGCATCTGTAAGGCAGTTGGATAGCGCGCAACCTACCTTGTTGTGACACGTTGACAGGTAGCACAACAGAAAGTAGTCGAATCATGCTTGTTGTTGTTCACCTCGTGTGGGCATACATGAAACTGGCAAAATAGTTCTGAGAAGAGAGTGTTGACCATGGCGATACCAATCTACGGTACTCTTGACACGTGTTCGCCCCAAAATTGAGCTTCCAACCGTTAGTGGCATTTCTTGCCACTAGTGTACGGCCATTGAGCCTGAAACGCGGTTTTTGACGCGCACGCTGCTTGCTCTCTTTCGAGTTATTTGTCAATGGCCGACAGCTCACATCGGTCGTTCACCGTGACCATCGATGTTTCTCCCTGCTGGGCGTGTGACACATTCATATCTTGTCCGTTTCTTCAGCAACCTGGCAGGGTGCGCCATAACGGACAGCGACGCACAGGATCTCTCGGCATGCGTGGACAGCGTTTCCCATGACCCTGTCAACGAGGTCTCGCTCGGATACAACGAGTTGACACAGCTGCCGGACGGGGTCTTCGCCGACTTGACCGCCTTACGCTTCCTCTACCTCGAGGAGAACTCCCTGACCAGCCTGCCGTCCGGGGCTTTCAGCGGCATGTCTCTCCTCCAGCGGCTATACCTTGACAGCAACAACCTCTCCGAGCTCCCTGAGGAGATTTTCGACGGGCTGTCATCGCTGCAGGAGTTGGACCTGGGGTCGAATGCTCTTTCTGCGCTTGACCATGGCGTTTTCGACGGCCTCGGAGCTCTCCAAAAGCTGTGCGTCCATACGTTGCTTCGAAGCTTTTGACTTTTCTGCTAGCAGAAGGCAGCACAGCTGCCATTTTCTCGGCACAGTATCATGTAGACAAAGTCGCTAGCTTTCGCTCCCGCGCTTAAACGAGTATTTTGGGTCGAGCATTACCTGTGATATTCGAATCCGTTGTAGAAGCAGCGAGCTGGGCACCGCTCTATCGTAACCGTACCTACCTGTTGTACTTTCCGATGTCACAGGTGTTTTTCGTTTCGAACCCGACATGTTCCCGAAGGACCCCCTGCCAAGAGGGTTCATACCTCGAATCTTTCACGTTGTTCGCCGCCCCGCATCGTTCTCATTCAGATCGCTGGACGACAACTCGCTGGAGGGGATCGACGGAGGCGTTTTTGATGACCTGGAATCGCTTCAACAGCTGCAACTTCAAGATAACCAGCTGTCCACCTTGCCACAAGGGTTGTTCGTCGTTCTCTCCGCCTTGACTCGCCTGTAAGTCGATCGGCAAGGCAATCTCATTCTAGGGCAAGGCGTCTCATTGTCGGTACCAATCCCGTGCGCCCGCATCCGGGCATAGATTCGGGCCATGGTGACCACCCATCTGGTCTTTGGCGCCCTGGCAAGGAGTCCTACACAGGACGAGGCGTTTCGCGTTCGTATTAGCTTTTGTTGGGGCACACAAGACCGTATTCCGTCGGCATGCGATGTTTCCATAATATTTGGTTCTGCTTCGTGCTTGGCTCTCCCGGTTAAATATGTCTGCGTGTGCGCATCTCTTCGGACTAAGAACAAACAACCACAACCACAGTAAAATTCCAATGACTGTGGATAGCGTGAATATTGCTCACCTTTGAAACCCTGACACAAGAAGACCGACGGTACAAACATTTTTCAAACCTCCCGGCGGAATTCAAGGCCTCGGACCATGCGTCTTACAGTTTGTCATTGGAGGGACAATATTGGCATGAAATAATTCCCACATCGAACGAACATGTTGGTGGTGGCAGCACGTGAAATTCTTCCGCGACCCCGACCAGGGTCTCACCAAAAACGGGTCTGAATCTGCGGGCGGTTCTGTTTCGAAACCTGTCCTGTAGACCTACCTAGATTGTAGGGCTGAGTGGGGCCAACACAGCTGTAGCCAACAACCCTAACATCAGTGTTGCCGTATCGGAACCTTGACTTGACCATGGGGGGTTTTCGTGCGCCCCTCACGCCGGCATGTTCTCGTTCCGCGTTTGTTACGTGTGCCGCCGCAGGGACTTGAGCGATAACCCGGACCTGCAGTGCCTCCCCACGCCAGGGTAAGGCCCCTGACGTCGATCGACCCGTGACAAGAATGCTTCCGATGTAGTGTGTTGTGTTGCAATTTTTTTCATTCCACGCCAAAGATAACGAGAAACTTACCGGGAATGGGGGGGGGGGCGACGATCGAATGCGTGTGACTGGAGTTCTCGTTCAGCACAGGTGACATGTCGCCAATGATTGTGTAAAGCAACATATTGCAACTTTTTTTTGGCTACCTTCAGATCGGATTGTGGCTTTGGAGAGGTTCGAGCGAGAGGTTCGAGCATTCGCTCCAAACTGTCCAAATTGCCCCGACCACCAAACGTGGCTCTCGCATCACGTAGTGTCCCAACACATGAATATGCATTAGCCCCAGCTGTCAAGGCTTCCTATGAGGCCTGTGCAGGTATAAACTCTGCAAACGTTCCCGAAAGCCATGTGTGGTACCAATTTGTGGTTAAGACGGTGATGTCAGATATTCTGACTTTCCCCGGCGAGCTCCATCTTCTCCGTTCCCGACCTCTATTCATTATCGGTCTCAAGATCCCGAAAAAGCTAGAAAGGTTTGTCTCTACCTTGTCCACCACCCAGGCAAAATTGGTAATGGCAAGAAAGAGTCTGACCGAGTCCAGGTGGAGAAAATTTCACCGACGAAGTCAAACCGTAGACCACGTAGACAACCTAGACTATGTGCTCGAGCAACTTTACTCTCTCGTCCAACCTCCCCCCCCCCGTACGTGCTCGTGCATCTGCCAGGCCGAACGTTGGTGCAGACTTCCTGCATCTTCCGGAAGGTTTCGTCTCCGGCACCTGCGGTGAGTGCAAAATATCTTTTTATGTTGCCAGCTGTGATCCACCTGGCGCGTACGATACGCTATTCGTAGTGCATACTACCAGACTCAGCACACGTACGAGGTTCTTGGACGTACGGACTGTCGTCCGTAGTTGAGCGTTCTGACATCGGCAGCGTTGACACCCTTCAGAGTGTAGGGCATCCGTATACCCGCGTAAACACTTTTTCAGGGTTAGACTCGACGGCGTGTGTTGAACAACATTCCACACTCTCAGTCGTGCATATTTCATATTGTTTCCGTATCCCGAACCCCGCCTCGAGCCCCGGAGTCACGACCCCGCCTCGGCGCTGCAATGTTTCTCTCATGCGGTGGCTGCATGTCTGCGTGCGTTCCAGAGATAGAAAAATTGGGAAACGCATGATGGTGCCCAGCTCGTCCACCAAGTACAGCTGGCGGCCGTGTATCTATTCACGAGCACGAGCGTTGGCAGTACTCAGTGGCTTAAGAGAGAAAGCCCGTCGTTCGAAACTATTTAATTAGGAGTCCCTCACCCGACACGGCCGCTGGCAGCCTCATCACCGGTTAATCCAACGATTTCACTCCAACCACGAACCGACCCCAATACGTTTCTCTGGGGTTTATTGCCCTTGCCTCCATGCAGAATGCCCAGCAACAGGGGACCCTGGGGCATGTGGCTCCGACTGCGCGGCAGGAGATGAAGGCTACGTCTGTTCCGGTACGTCGACCACATCACCTCTGGGTAATGCAAGAAACGCCTGTCGCGTCGTCGTTCTAGTCAATGAAAATGGTCCGCAGGGGAATCAAAATTCCACGCAATGAGTCTCGCATATACGTGTTCCGAGACCTGGTTCGAGTTCGCACAGTGAATTGTGTCTGAAGCGCGTCTGCAACACGTGTCCGCTGGCGAGCCCGCCAAACAAAATTGACACTAGCGACCATCGAGAGCACCATCTCACAGCTCAATGAGTGATGTTCGCAGGTACGACTCAAAGTACAACCCTTGACAGCATGTATCATCGTCAGACGCTGACACCTTTGGTCTCGGGATTGAAATCAATCCCCCCCCCCGTGTGCACCGCACTCACATGTTTCCCAAGCTCGTGAGAAGAAACGTTCACACTCTGCAAGGCTTGCCGCGTTGTGCCCCTGACCCTCTTGCTCCCTTGAAAATGTCGTCAACTATACCCATATCACGCGTCCCACAAGTAATCGTTCTCTACCTCGACAAACAACCGCGTTTTCGACATGTGAGGAGGCCTGACCCCGGCACCAACCCCGGCAATGCCGGTCGATAATTCGACAACGCCGGTCGACAACCCGACGACTCCGGTCGATAACACCACGCCTGTCGACACTCCGACGACGCCGGTCTACACTCCGACTACGCCGCCAGTCGACAACATCACGCCTGTCGAGAGTCCAGCGCCGGTCGACGGTGCGTCACCCACCGTGCCTTCTGCGGAAAGCTCGCCCGCCCCTATGACGCCGGCTCCACCTGCCACTGCCACGCCGACGGCGGTTTCTAGAGGTGGCCTCGGTACACCGGCGCCGACTTCAGGTGAGCCATCATTTGGTTTTTGCTTGCCCTCAGAATGTGTGTTGAGATCTCCGGCTTCGGCGCTGACTCCCCCCACGGATAGGTTTGAAACTAACCTAACCGGCGACGGGTGCTATCTCTATCTCAGCAGCACCGAGATTGGTGTACACGTGGAAGGCAAACCTGTAGACTAGATGCTGCAGAGTGTTGTTCAGAACCTGGCAAAACGGTCCAACTCTCGTATCATGTGACAGGCGGAAGGGGTGGAACCTTGGGCCCCAAAATTCCTCTAGAATGAACATCGACTGCTCGACTGTTCAACGCCACACGAAACCGTACGCTCCTTTTGTGCTCATGGCCAATGATGCTCTCGGAAAGATGTTCACGGCCCGACCTTACACATTTGGTCCCCCCTGATGCCCCACGCTCCTTGATTCTGATCCGTAGAGTCCTTGAACAAACGTATCTCCTCATTGGGGCTGTTTAGGCTTCCCTGGCTCTCGTTGGCTGTTTAAAACCACCTCTGAGTGGAAAACTCGAGGCATTGAACGCCCCGTTGAAGAGCAATGAGAAGGCAGGTTTCCATCTTCACTCGATGGAAGCAGCTGCCGTGCGTTTTTTGTGGTGTCAAAGACAAAGGCGTGTACGGCAGGGCATAGACAGTACCCTTGTTCCGCGTATCACGGCATCTGAGCTCTCGAGTAAAGAATAGGTTGAACGTATCGAAACGGAGGATCAATCTAACCAAGTCAACCCCGCTCCCTGGCTTTGGAACTGCAGACCCGGCCACCTGTGACAACGGCATCACTGTGGGTAAACAAGTCGGCGACGCATGCTGCAAGGTCGGCTGCGAGAAGTGCGGCGGTGTTGACTGCTCGACAGCAACAGCAGGGTACGGAGCGGGCGAGTGCTGTGTCGACACAATCATGGCTGCGGGTGTCGAATGTGGCGGGGGCGAGGACGCGGCACCCTGCATCAACTACGGTTAGTTTATTTGTTCAGTCACTTCGTGCAAACGAACACCAACCGTTGAGTACCAATATTCTGTTGGGAAAGTCTGCGCGAAACTTCGAGGCCAATCGTTCTTTCTGGAACGGCTGGTGACAAGCGTTTTTTGGCAACATGTGTGGTGTCAAGGCACCACTGTTGAAGCTTTGAGTTTTCGTGGTCTAATGAGATCGGCGGATTTTTTATTCTCGGAGGATGCACAATCGTGTGGCGCACGTCGTTCTGCGCTACAATGTATTTCGTCTCCCAACACTACGTGGCAAAACGGAAGATGCTGAAGGTATTTGTAGAGCTGGTTATTCCAGTGAATTAATAGAGCGACTTCATGCGCCAACGAGGATGCCTAAATCGTCAACCAATGATCGCGTTTTGTCCTTGCGAAAGGTGTGCTGCGTAGACACACGCAACGCGGGTAGCACTAAGTGGTCACTGGGCTGGCAGTGATCCAGATCTAGATATCGATCGATGTCGAGATCAGTAAAAGCATCGATATTCCTGTCAGCTAGTGAGGGGTGCCGACAGCTATATATTCACACCAATTTATACTGGATTGGTCAGAGCTTTCTCCAATATGCACATCGCACGCCTCCAGTTTTTTATTTGATTGTACAGTATTTGACTAGAGACGGCTCCGTGTGCGTGGTACAGTGACGCCGTGGGCGCATCGAAACGAAACGCATTCTCGGAAGGCCTCGAACCCACCCTGTGAGAATGGCCCGTACATAAGTATGAATCAATCCGACAAGAATAGTGCACTACTGTACCACCGCCATGCAGTCCTGTGACTATTTCATCAAATATTTTGCGTCTTTTACCCCAGATACACGGGCTCCGACACCGGCCCCGACGACTTTATACTCCGACGGCGAAGCCTGCATGGCCCAAGAGACCGCGTGCAAGGTGAGTCCCCCGCGAACATATCTCTCCCGTGCCTATCGATAGGCAAGTTGGACCTCCCCCCGTGCCGGGCCCGACTCAGCTTTCAACCTAGAAAGCCGTTTCCGGAAAGATTGGCGTCCCGCTTTGCTCGTAGGAATGAAAATATAAGATATGATGTTGGCATTGAGTGCCGGCAAGCAGCGACCTCGGCCAGAAGTACTTGACCTTGAGACAATTGGTTCAGGAAAAGATGTTTGTGGGCACCAGGGATGCCTTTTTGACCAGGCCCCTCGACGGTGTTGAAACCCTTGCAGTGAACCAACCTGGAGTGAATCCTGAAAGCTCGAGTCGTTGATATTCGTTGTTTCTGGTGGTACCATTGACAGCGCGTGCCCCTTAAACGCGCTCTCTCGTTGCCCCGCTTCCGGACCGACCTCCGCCTTCGCAGGACGACGATGATTGTGGCCCGTGCATCGTCATGACGTCCGTGGACCAACAAGCGGCGCTCACAGAGTGCCAGAATGACTACGAATACGACGGCGATGTCTTCTGCGGCCCGGCTACGGTGCTGATGTGTTGCCTTGCTGAGTCGTCCTCGCGTTCCGATTGCCCTGATAACGACCTGTTCGTGGAGTACGCATCGTGCCTTGTCGAGGAGATGAGCGGTGGAACGGACTGTGAATTATCTTGTCGCGAGACCGACGATGCTGTAAAATCCGCGGTTGACGTTGAGGAAGGTAGCGGCGCGGGGCGCCTGTCATCGGCGTTTGGCCTAGGTGCAGCCGTCGTCATGACTGCCCTCTATGCGATCACGACCGCCGGCACTTCAATGTAAAACGGCCGCTAGACACGAGTTCTAACGACAGCTCTCACGTCTGTAGTCGGAGTAGACTACTCCCTTCGCGCGAAAGCGAACGCCTCTGGCGAAATTCCACGTTGTCCGGTGATAAAACCTTGGGATGGCCGAGAAGAAGGAAATGTACATGTTGCATGTTGTAAATGGTGTTAAGTATTTGGGTACTAAGCTTGCATGGTACGATGATCGAGGTGCAGGGAAATGACAAGTGAAGGAACAAGTGAACACGTTAACGGGCGGGGATCGGGGCAGACGAGGCGTGACAACTTCGTAAGGAGGTCCGCGTACAGTACATAGACTTGTTAAACGATACTGGAAAGCGGAAAAACCTGTCGAGGAAGATTCAGCCTGCCCGCCTTTTGGATGGAGTAGTACAGTAATTCGAGGATTGATTTCCGTTTTCATGCAATGGAGCCCTTGGTGGTGCATCGTGCGAGATGTGAGAGCTCTCAAACGCGAGGATGCTTCGACCTACCGGAGGACTGTCTACCCGTTGAATTTGTTTGCAAGAGGGTAAGTGAACACACGGTAAGAATTACCGTGCGTAGTCTGTGCCGCAGCGTGCATGCAGAGAAGAGTGTACGTAAGAAATAATGCTGGTGTCGTGTAAGGTGCTGCGGCGGTTGTAACGAATGTAGGGGATGTCCGGCAGAACTTCCGGGAATTGAGGAAATGCAGAAGATGTGTGGGATACTGGAGGGTTTGTGAAAGAATTGGGTTGTGATAACACGCTGTCAATGCCAAGCCGGCACAAATCGGGGAAAGCGCCAAAGTGTCACTCAGGACTCGTTTGATGCTCAAGTCAAGTTTCTCGGAACCAGTATCCCATTTTCGACCATGACCACCTGCCAAGCTGCGAAAGGCTTGTCGCCCTCGGGCTTGAGTGACACCCGAGTCTCGTGTCTGCACTCGTCGACAACATTTAAACCGCCATGTGCAGGAGACGTTTGCACCGTACTGTACGGCGGTGTCCCTGTCCACAGGCAGGCGACTCCGAAACCCAGACTCGCGCAAAGAAAAGCAGCGTGCACACCGTGCAGATTCGGCCAACATTCTGGGGTCCTCCTTGGTGCGTCACTCCCAATCGTGATCCTCTCCTCTGCCTTGGTCGATTGCCCTCCAAACGAAACCCATCCTACAATTTCACCCCTTCCGGTCGCACTAAGTCATTGAGAAGTTCTTTGCCGTCCTGTGTGTATATCCTCCTTTTCGGAGGAAAACAACGGTTTCAGTCACGTGTCAATTCTCAATCAACAGACACAACATCGCCGATTCGCTTGTGGTTGTCTTGCAATCACTCTCACCGACGGAACCGCAAGCACTACGTCAGCCACGACAGCGCGCGAGCCACGCAAAAAACAACACATCATCATCAGCTACCCCCGCCTTCGCCGCTCCCGCCGCCGTAGTACGCATCGAGGTCTCGTCGCGCGGTGGAAGCAGACCTGCTGCCGGTTACGGCCGTCTCTCTCCGAACCTCTTCCGCCGTTGGCAGCGGCACGGGCTCGCCGTCGCCGTCCTCTCCACCCCCGAACGGCTTCCAAAACGCGTCATCGTCGCCCGGGTTGTTGCCGCCGCCGCCGCCGCCGCTGGCGGCCGCGGTTTGCGCCCTTCGCTTCTCCGCGATTCTCGCCGCCACCCGCTCGTCCGTGGCCCCCTCCTCGTCGCTGTCGTCGAGGACGGTCTTGATCTTGGTCACCGCTTCCTCCACCGCCTCGGCGCTGCGGCGGCGGAAGTCTCTCCACCCGTCCCCGAACTTGGCCAGGCCCGCGGCGGCCGCGGCTGTTTTGTCGGGGGGGATTTACGCGCACCAATCGGAGGCAACGCGAGCGGTCGACAGAGGACAGGCGAGTGACACGCGTTAGAAAAATAGTGGAGTTATTGTCGCAACAACTCAAGGCACTCACTCTACTATGCGCAAGACGATGGGGCTAGCATCCAGGACACACAACGCACACACACACTCCTCACGTTCAGGACACACACTCCTCACGTCCAGGACACACACAAACACACACACACACACACACACACACACACACATTTGCGGCTGGCCGTCAAGACATAGAACCGCCTTGGTGGTTACACGAGGTTCAGCTATGGAAGCCCGAAAAACACCGGCCTCGACCTACCGCCGGGGTCCCTTCTTGTCGGGGACGCGGATCGGCCTTCCCTCGACTTCCCTCGGATGCTCAGGCCCGTCCTCGCTGGTGATTGTTGTCCCGGAGATGATCTCTTCTGCAGCGGGACCTTCGGAGGCGACAGGGGCATCCCACCGGCCGTCATGTCTTCCAGTCTCCTCTTCATCTCGGCCATGGACGGCGGCTTGAACATTTCCCAGCCACCCCCGTCTGGCTTTACCGCCGCCGCCTCTCCACCTTGACCCCCGCCAGCGGAGGAGGCTCCGCCACTACCGCCATCTACGGCGCCGCTACCCCCGTCCGGGTTCGAGGTCTTGCTCGAGACCCCCCCCGGTGGCACCCCGCCGAGCATATCGGTCACCGTGGCGAACGAGTCTGTGATAGACTTGAGCACCTCGTCGGTCTTCCCTTGCAGCCCACCAACCGCTGGCGCCGGAGCTTCCTTCGGGGGTTCATCGCGACAATCTGCCGATCCGGTCTGATCCTTCCCACTCGCCGTAGCGATCGCTGAGTCCGCCATGCCGTCGCCCGCGTGCTGCGGTCCCTCGGCGGAGCCGTTGGCGTTGTCGGTTGGCTCCGGGTAAACGCTGAGGAGAGATAGCTGCTCCTCCACGTCCTCGGAAGGGTAGAGGACGTCCTGCGTCGTAGAGAGGGGGGGGTGGGGGCGCGGGGCAAGGGTCGAGATCGGGGATGACGCGCGCTCCATGAGAACACACAGAGCAACCGCAACACATGGCTCGAGAGCCTAGATAACGTATTGCGAGCGAGCGGAGAGGGAAGCACTGGGCACAAGCAAGCTGTAGTGTAGCGCGCGAAGCTGGTGCGTAACGCGCCAAGACGGTGTGAAGCACGCGGACTCTCGCACACGAGGACATCACGCGCGAAAGAAATGGCGAAGCGAAATGTAGAGGGTACACACGAGCAAGCCTCCACCGGCACCACAAGGTTGGGGCCATAAACATGCCGAAGAGAGGATCGCAAGCATCAAGCGGACAAAAAAAACGAGGCATCAACTACATCGAGGTGATCGGACGAATCAACAAGATTAGGGGGCACTCTACCGCAGCATGTGAGCACCACGTACGCCTACGTGGAAGCATTCAAAAAACGTATCACGCGGTGCACTTCGCGGTGAAACAGACCTGACAGCTGTGGGAGTCCCCGCTGGGGCCCGACACGCCTCCCTGGTGCCTAGCCCGCTCCACGCACGCGCAGAAGAGCTGAGCCTGCTCCTCCCAATTCTCGCCGTTAGCCCCGGCCTCCTCTGCCAGCAGGTCGTCCGAGAATATTCGCCACAGCTGGGTGGAGTAGACAGCCTGGGGACGGCACAAAGAGCGACGGAGTGGGCACAGTCAGTGATAACACAGTATTATATCTATAAGCGGTGAACGGCCTTCTATATAGGTCGTGCTGAAAGGCAGCAGGGGCGACACAATGTGCGACGCCCACTTCGTAGTTTACTACTATATTCTTACGACCATCGTCGTTGGTACACGAGCGTCAGGAGCAACGACATGATCGTAGCATACATGCTCGTTATGGGGACGACCTGATGTCGAGATACGAGGCGGTCTATCGGTACGTTGTAGTGCGGGTATCGTTTGCCGGGAGGCAACATTTCTCGCCGTGCGATCGACATTCGGCGAACCTGCTGAAGTCTTTCACTAGAGCGGATGAAATTCACACACGAACAAACCAACAATGACTTCATCAACAACACCATCCACAGTAACGACAGCAACAGCGACAGCAACACCAACACCATCAAGATTGGCGCTCACCTCGAGTAGCTTACGGTGGTCCTCAGGCGCCTCACCAATCATGCGCTTCTGCGATCCAGGCACATACCGGTATGTCTGATAGTCCCCAAACTGCAGCACCAAACCCAAAGGAAGAAAGGCGGGGGATCCGTGAGTAAGCCATACGGTGGTCGTTCGAGAGGCAAAAAAAAAAAGTGGACCGTTCCAGGACAGAAGACGAAAGGAAAGGAAAAGTCTCAGGGAAAACAAGCGTTTCAGACGCTCAGAATCAAGGAAGAAGACAAAAAAAAAAAAAAAAACGCAACACACATACCCGCCGCTCTGGGACGGTCTTCCGTTCATCGATCAGCCGGTTCGCGAAGCCGATGCAAAGAAGAAAGAAGCGCAACACACACACACACAACACCACCGGAACCTCGAATGAAGGAGGCACGGTTCAGCCAAGGGCGTTCCGACGAATTAGGATACGAGGCCGCCCCCTGTACGACGTGTGTTGACGACACCGAGGTGGCCACCACGAATGAGCGCCACCGAACATCAGAAAGGGTGAGCTAGCAGAAAGCAAATGCAGCGCACAACTCATCAAACAAGCAACAACGCAAACGGCGCACTGCTGTCAAGTCTGCTCAACCCAAAACGAAACAAAGGACAGTCCAACACCAGAATTGAGCCCCCTCCCGAAACAACACCGAAACCAACACGCCTATTTTCTCACTACCCCATGCTATCGACCACAGCCACCGGCGGCGAGTGCTAATGCACGCACCAAGTCCACCATGACGTCCACGACTGCCACCCTAAGGCCCGGCGTGTAGAGCGTCGATGCCCGGGGCTGGTGGTGAGAACGGTCCGTGACCGGAGAAACCTCGAGAGGAACACACCGCCTCATTCGGTTTTCCTGCATGAGAAAAAAAAAAGAGGTCCCCAACAAGGGACGAGGGACGAAACGGGTGAGGCGACGTTGATACGTTGTGAAACATGATGTCAGCTAGCCAAACAAGGTAATACCTCACCGATGCGAGCAACTGGTTTAGATCCAGAAACCCTGAAGGGTTTCGACGGATGGTGTGAAACTTCTAGGCCGACCGCAGGTGCAATGCACGTCTTGGCTCCATACACGGACGAGCAAGCGCGACGGATCGACTCGAAAGAGAGAGAGGGCGGGAGAGAGAGACGTAGAGAGAGAGGGAGCCAGGGAGGGAGGGAGAGACAGATAGATAGGGAGACAGAGAGAAAGAATGACACGTAGAGAGGGAGAGAGGAAGGGAGAGACAGACAGGGACGCAGACAGTCCGAGACAAAGACAGAGAAACAGAGACAGACAGCGTCAGAGACAGAGACAGACAAGAAACCCAGACAGAGAGCCCTCAACCAGTCCACCCTTACCGCTCGACTCTTGAGGGCCCTGGGGAGCTCTGCGAGCGAGCGCTGGCCGCTGTCTCGACGGCTTGGCCTTTTCTGGGGCTCCTTTCCCGAAAGTTTCCGCCGCCTTTTTTTTTGGACACACCGGTTTACCCGGAGGGGTTGGCCGGATTGGGCACCCCCCCTTTTTTTTTTTTTTCCCTGGGGGGGGTAAACATATGTACAAAGGGCCAAAATGTTGGCCGGGGGGGGGGGGGGGCGTACTCTTATGTTTTGCATGCCTTAGTGGTTAGACCATTGACCACGCGTCCTCGAGAGGACGGAGCATTGTTCCCACAGGACCGATCAACGATGGCCAATCGTTCCTTCCTACTTTGCCAAAGGTGGCTCAAAAATGTCTTCCCTAGTCTGTCTATCCTAACGATATCCCTTCCCGCCTTTTCAAACCACTTCAATGTTAGCAGGGGAGCGGTAAAAACATTGTCTTGTGCCTCAGTAGCTGCTGCTGATGCTTGAGCTAGCTCAGCATCTTGTACCCCCGAATGGGATGCGCATCACCCTTTTGCTGCGCGTGGACAACATAGCTGTTTCCTCCGTGTTAAAGGGTAACAGCGGGGGGGGGGGGTGAGCCATGCAAACAAACATCACGGGACGTACAGGTGACATCGGCTTGATGTTCGTGTAAAGGACGCGGCAGTGCCTGCCTTAAAGTCCGCCACGGGCTCACAAGGCACAACACCGTCGTACGGTTGTACACGGCAAAGACTTGCCCAAAACAAACCAAAAAGCACAACACGCCGCGCTAGAACACCTGGCGCATCAATCAGCCAAATATGCGCCCACGCCCCGCAACAACACAGACCAAGCAAACGCGCTTTTGTCCCCATTCCCCCAGATGCACGCACCAAGTTGATTATCGTAATGCAGGACAGGTCAGCCCCGACCCTATCTAGCCCCTTCTGATGCATCCCCATCAAGAAAGGCACCGGTGCCTCCAAGTAGTGCACCAGGGATGCTGGAAGCACGGGAATTAGCGTGTGCGGCCACCTGAGCGTTCACGAAGAGCGCGCGGGGAGTGGCGGGTGGGAAGATCTTTGTCGTGGCGGTTTAGGAGCACACGCCAGAGGAGACACGCGTGGGATGATGCCTGGAAAAACGAGTGGCTCTACTTGCCTTGCAAAATGGCTCCCTCGGCGCAGTGACACATCGTGCCAAAAAAAAAAAACTAAAACGTGGCCGGTCTGGTGCAATTCCCGCTGAGATGCCCCCTCACTCGGACTGAACAATGGTCGCTTGTCACCTTCGATTTCCATGATTGCCACGTTAAAAAAAAAAACACTTCGCGACGCCGCGTTGTACAAGCCCTGCTTGGATACCAGGGATCAGCCGGCTATTCCTATTCGTGGTCCAGAACTTGACCCAACTATGGCAAAACGATGCACGACGTCTGCGGCACTCTTTACTGCGTGTTGACACCAACCACAACCAACCGCGCAATACCGCACCACCGCCATACATAAATATATAAATAACGGCCATCTACGGGGCCCCCGTTGCTGCACCTGAGCGGGAACAAGAGTCCCAGCAGCGCTGATGTCGCCGGGGCCAAGTCTTCCAAGTGGTCGCTCAGCAGCAGCACGCTTTGTTCCTGTACGCCGCCGAAGCCACAAACCAGTACGTATGGGTGAGTGAAAAAGGCGAGGCGGGGGTGCGCGGAACCGGATTTTTCGATTGATCCACCTAGAGAGAAAGACAGCAGCCCTGTGTACGTGGTGTGTTCGTCGGAAAGAGGGAAAAGCATACCATACCGGTACATCGAAGGCTCACAAACGTTTGCCTGGCGGCAAAAAAAAAGCAGCACGATATCCTCGTCCGTGGACAGGAAGGGCCTTGTCCTCCAGAACAAAAAATCAAACGTGCTACATATATTCCTCGATTTTTGTAACGCCCATGAGACAACCATGCCAAAGCTGTCGATAAGAGAGTGCTCGTCAGGGGCGTGGCGCGTAGAGAGAGAGAGCGAGAGCGAGAGAGAGAGAGAGAGATCCCGAATTCTTCCCCGCTCGGAACAACGCGACTACAGTACCTCTTCGTCCAACGTGAGTGTGATACGCCGGTGTGATGTCCCACTAACGACTTGTTGGCTGTCGTACGGCAAGCATCAGCCTGACGGATGCAGATGATGGGCATGGAGGAGATGAGAGGAGGTAGTCCACGCTTGCAAAAACATCCACCTGGCGAACGTGGACTATCGTACCTCTACTCGTCTCCGCCATGCCCAGAAACTGCATCCACCGGGCTGACGCCGTGTGATATCCAACGGTAAAGGCGATGAGACGGATTCGTCGTTAGGACCTTACACAATGGTAACACACGCACGCAAAGAGTAGGCGAGAAGAGTAGACCAAGCCCAATACGGCAGTGCAGGCCCACATTCTCGCACGCGAATTCACGAGCAGGAGGAGGTGGCCAAGGTCCGAAAAGGCAAAAGAGGTGGCACCGTGTGCATTCGATCTTCAGGTATTTTCGTCCTTCCGAAAAACGGCAATGCTATTTGCTCCACCGGTGGAGTAACCTCATATTTGCTTCACCAGGCAGATCTCCACCCACAGAGCTCTAATCGACCCCAAACCAATTGCATTGTGTAGGTATGGAGATATTCTACTTAGCAGCTAAATTCGACAGATGGTTGCAGAGATATGCTGAAAAATGGGGTTCCGCAGCATGTCAGGAAGCAGTAATCGTCTCGAACCTCCGTCCACACAGCCCCAATTGGGTTCACAAACCCCAATTACGTAATAGTACTCGTGCAAAAATTTCGTGGTTAATCGGTTTCGCTCCGAGGAAACATGGATGACATCACAACAGCGCGTCAATTTCCCGAATGTCCGGTAAGCTGCAGGGGCCACATTGTAACGGGGAGGCCCAAAACGCCACACCCCCTCCTACCCTCCCCGGCAGAGACACGCAACCTTGCCTATAGATCACAACCGGAAAGTATCGACAACACAGTTGAAAAAAATTGGAAAACGAAAACAACACGTGACCAACACACGCACAACAACCACAAAAACCAAAACTTGACCTGCAGAAGACACGACAAAGCCACGAGGATGGTGTCCGGGCCCAGCCGCGACGTCAGGCAGCGTAGATCCGCCTCTTCGAGGTGCGGGAAGCTGCTGTGAGAGGCGTGCGCGTCGCCGTAACGCAGCACTCGGTCAAGTACCCTGGAAAGCCAAAAGCGGCGGGATATTTCATTGAGCGGGGTTTAGAGTATCCATATGGCGGTGGAAGGGCCGGGGGGTGACACAAGGCCTTTCGCTCGAAACGAAATCAGAGTGGGGGGAACGGGAGGTGATGAGCAGAAAATGTTCAAAGTAAGGGCCGGCGGCGCAACAGGCTGGGCTGGGGGGGTATGGGTATCTTCCTCGCATCACCTCTGTGTCATCGCAGACTTCACGCCTACACCTTAGCCTACGTGCGCACGCGAGTATTTCGTTGGCATGTTGTAATGACATCGACAGCGCTACCCGCGTGACCAATGGAAACACGATAACCTCACCCCAAGAGAGAAAGAATGAGAGAGAGAGAGAGAGAGAGAGAGAGAGAGAGAGAGAGAGACAGAGAGAGAGAGACAGAGAGAGAGACAGAGAGAGGAGAGACGAGAGAAGAGAGAGGAAGAGACTGAGACTGAGAGAGGGGGTAGCCTCCAACCTACCCAACCTCGGAGGTTGTCTAGGTAATGAATTCCCTTTACGCGCACGACTAGAAGCGTCGTCCGTCCCCTCTCACGTGTGCTCAGCCTGCGCCGAGGGCAACGGCAGCGGAAGATCGCTCGCGTAGTGCTCCATGCAGAACCTGATCTCCTGGTTCCTCTCCTGCTCCATGTCCAGGGGCCACTCACACAGGGACCCCCAATTCAACGCCTGCGAGCCCGCCACGCGCGTCGGTGTGTGTTATGCCGCGACGGCGTTGGCGTAGAGCAAGCAGCGTGCGACAGGACAGGCGTGTGTGGTGGCGAGGCGAAGGGAGAACGGCACCTACAGAGGCACCGCCGGTCAAAGCCTGGCTGCGAGAGTGCCGGCGGCACCGTGTAGCCTACGCCCAACGAATTCCCGCAAAACACATCCGCTTATGGCTAGGATTCCTTCCAGGGCTTACCCCGCTTGAGCCGACTCGGCAATCGCGCGCTTGTAGCGACCGAATGCTTTTACGGTGATGGCATTGGTCATTTCTAGATGCGTCAACCCCTTTCTGATTGGTGCATCCAGGAACAGTCCATGCCATCACCGAGAAGCACTCGCTCGCTACAAGCCCTTGACTGACCAGGACTTGGTCCACAACAAACTGGATCAACCACGGCAAGCAACAGCCCAGAAAGCCCTCTTCATTCCGATCTCTCTTTTCTTGGAATATCAAATAGCACCACAAAAACACCACAAAGCTACATATGACCTTCGAACCAGACCGTCGACGTCCCATCCGGTTGCCCAAACCGCCGAAAACCTTATCCCCGTTGCGCCCATCGTCCTAACCATGAGCACCAAGCCAAAAACACGCCAACAGCAGGTGGACGTTATCCTCCAAGGCAGCTCCCACCACGTCTTTCCCTACCTACCTACCTACCTACCTACCGTGAGGGTGCGGAGAGATGCTCCCTCTCAATTTTCGAAGCCCCGAATACTCCACGACCTACCTTGTACCAACGTCACAAATGGTGGTTTCGGAAAACATCTCGTCGAAAATATTTTTCGTTGACATCTATCGGGCTCTTTCCGCACCCAGGACCAATCGATTTTTTGAAAGTCAGCCCCCCCATTTCTCCGCCTCCTACGGTACACCCCGCACCCCACGCCCCGTCCGCCCGTCCGTGTCTCACCTCGCTGAGGATAAGCTCGGCGATGTGCTCGCAGATGGAGGCGAAGGCGGCCGTGTAGGGGTGCCTCGCCAGCACCAGGACGACGCGGGCCGACGTCTCTCCCGCGGGGACGGCGCCGTCCCTATCCCCGGGCGGGGGGCCCAGCGCCGTGTGCACTACGAAACCCCGAGAAAAAAAAAACACAGGAAGTAGAGGATTGGCAACAACGAGGCGGGCGGGCGGGTGGACGGCGTCGGTTGCTGCACCGGCCTGCGGGTAACTTCACCCAAAACCGACGTGTCGAGTGCGATGGCGGCGCCGGCGGTGGACCAGCACTTGGTGCCGTGGACGGAATTCCAAGGAAAGCACTAATGCTCGAAAGTTACCACGTTGGACGGCGAAAGGCTATAAACAACCGAATAAACCTCCGAACGAGGCCTGTGACCCATGTCTTCCATGTCTGGGGCGCCGCCAAGTCCAAGCGCCAACAGACAAGACAGAAAAAAAACACAAAAAACGAGCCCCAATGTGGGAAGAGGACACGACACGTGCGCCGAGGAGACAAGGAACCCAGGCAAGCGCGCAATACACTTCCGCTGGCGGTGAACCCTCGACAGCAATTAGAAGAGCGAAACAATGTTCGTACGGTAGCCTCACACCAAAAAAAGCTCAACACACCCTCGGTTCCGTGGCCGCTGGAGCTCCCTTCCTCGCTCTCTTTTTTCTTGTTTTTTTCTCTCGTACCGCGAGCCCTTTCTCTCCGAGCCTCGTCCTGGTACACTCCTAAATAGCCCATTCATTTCTTTCATTTCTCTTATCTATCTTTCATGTCCATTTTCGTTCTTTCTCACCTCGAGCCCTGCCCTTCTGAGCAGCGTCCTGGTACACCCCTAGCACCTTGCTCCACACGTACGACCGAGCGCCAGACGTGTCCGTCAGCAGCGTCCCGTACGCCGCTAGGGGCCCGCCCTGCACGGGCCATCAGAAGCAGAAGACGCCGCCGAGCGGAGGTGACGACATTTGCGGGGGAGGGCCTCCCACACAACCAGCGACGTTTTTTCGTCGAGGCTAGACGAGCAGTAGCATGACAGCACCAGGCACATAGATTGGCCATGCGGTGCAAAACTACAATGACTTCTGTGCGCAAAAACTCCGAGAGTGACCTCTGCAAAGACCGGTGCACTAGTAGCACAGAACCAACTTAGTTCCTCACTTGCGCGCCGCACGACTGCGTGCAGATCTCGGCGAGGTTGGAGGCGTCCGTCATGGGGGTGTCCTCGTGGTCTTCCTCTGGGAAACGGCACACCTGTGCCACCGTCGCCTGCCCCCCCCCGCCCGGCGTGCGCGCGTGTGGCGAGAGCCGGGAAGCGTCGAAGCCGCATCACACGCCAAGGTCAACGAAGGGGGGTCACGGCGAAAAAACAACTAAACAAACACTGCTGTTGGCAGGGACCAAAAAGAAAAAAAAAATGCCATCCATACTTCTAACAAGTATCAAAAGAAGCCAACCAAACCCATCGGCACTCGCCACCGACCGAAACGCTGCAGGTGTTGCGCTCCCGCGTCCCCCCCGGGGGATCGGGGACGGGTAGGTCCGCACACCGGCAACAATCGGCGGCCGGCAGAGCGCGGATCGGGCTTAGCAAATTCCTCAGCGACATCAAACCTTAGGCCACATGTGTTCCTGTCGATGCTCCATCGGATGCGACCGACCGACCCCGCATCGCACTACTGCTGTAATACAATATTGGCGTATGAGCCTGGAAAGCCCAAAGCTCGTCTGATTAGGTCCTGTCGCGAGAAGACAACAGCTTTCGTCGGGGCAATGTGACGCAAGATACCTCACCCCCTGAACCGATTTTCAAAGCTCGATCGCTCCACAGCAGAAAGAGCGGCGGTACCGAAAATGGCGGCGTCGGAAGCATCTGCCAAGATCTCTCTCAAACCACTTCATTCGATTTTGGCACCCTCTTCGTGGAATAGCCTAGCTTTGGAAACCGGCCCAGATGGTGTGGAATCTTACGTCATGTCGCCAACGGTAGTGAGAAAAGGACACCACAAAGATACGCCTAAAAGAGTGGTTTCCGGTGTCAGACGAGAGTCCAGTTCCCGACGGGTCCTCGCCACCCGCACATCACTACAAAAATCATCAACCTGGAAATCGCTCACTCATAACGAAGTCACCCCCCCCCAAAAAAAAACACACCCGACCGGAAGCGTTCGAGCCGGCTGCTGCTCATGCGTCTGCTGCTTCTGCACACACCTGCTTGAGGTCGGACAGCTCGTCGCACTCCGCCCTCAGCTGCGGCGCGAGCTTGACCGTCATGACGGCCACGTAGTCGACCACCCTCGACGCCGACGGCGAAACGAACCGGTCCACCATTGCCCCGCCCGCCCCGCTGCCGGCGCCACCCCAGCCCCCACCCCCAAGGTACTGCTGGAACAGCCGCCGAAGCTGATTTTTTGGGGTGCGCGGGGTAATTAATTCGTTCGATCGGGGTGTGGGTTGGGTTGGACGCGTCGGGGTAATTGGCGGGCGTTGAGATGCCGAGAAACGCCGCTCCGAGAGAAGGGAAGTGGCGCTCGGCGATGCACGTACACGCTTGTTTGCAAACCGAAGCCAAGCCCTTGCTGGTTCAGCGGTCGGATTTCGGTGCGGTTGCTAAAGCACGACAAGTGTACTAGCCCAAAAATAGATCGAGAGCTAAACCCAAGGTTAAGTGGTAGGTCTTTCGTGCAGCAGCAGCCACATCACCGCTGTAACTGCGACCGCTGACAGTGCATCCCGGCTCCTATAGCTGGGCTAAGGAAGAACGGGGGGAGCAAAATACCGCACACTCGAGCGTGAAGCGGAGGGAAGTAAAGCATGTATGCAGATAAGGTTATGGGAGAGGAGAGGAAGGGGGGCAGCGCCGGATTGTGCTTGCTAGATAACAACAGTGTGGACAGACAGCGGTGTGTGTGTGTGTGATGGGTGGTGGGCGTCATCGTGCCGCCGTTTCGCCAAAACCGCGTTTTTCGGTTCCATCGCTGCCGCCACAAATCGTCTCGCGGTGCGCAAGGCTTTGCCACCAGCGTAGCTCGGTCCCACCAAAACCCACAGCAGCAGTAGTATCATAGCGAAAATGTGAAACTTATCAGCCGAGGAGAGAGGGGTTGGAACACTTTTGTACGCGGAAGGGAGACATCCAAAGCCAAACACAAACAGCTCTCACCAAACGGTCCTTGGTGAGCTGAGCGGGAACCTGGCCGGCGTCGTTCTTGGCCTCCAGGTCCGCGCCAAGCCTCGACAGCTCTCGAACCACGGCGGTGCGGTTCGCCTGACGGAGCGGACCGACATACGTCGACGGAGTTTACGAGGTCGGAATACCACCCCCCGAAAATCGGCCGTCATTCTCGACAACCCAAGAAGACGACGACCACAACAACAATACCACCAACACCACCCCTAACAGCAACAGCACCCACCACGCTGACGACGATGACGACGACAGCAAGGGCAGCGAAAGCGACGAACCCCATGGGGGCACACACCAAGCGGACAAATCCACGATACAACAGCTGTATCACCAAAAACGCACCAAAGCAGCAGCAGCGACGACGAACATCTCGCGGGGCGCTTCTTCTCTTCTCGCGGAATACAACACCACGAGCACCGCTGCTCGCTCGTTTCCCTCTGGTTCTCCGTTCCGAGACGCTCACCTTTGCCGCGTAGTGCAGGGCGGTCATGCCTCGCACGGTGGCCTCGTCTACGTCCACCCACAGGTCTTCCACCAGGTAGTGTACGATGGTATCATCTGGAAACGGTTTTCCGTACAGCAGTCCCGTGTGAAGCGTGGCGCGCGCCACGGAAACAGCAGCGGCGGTGGTATTGACAGCAGAGAGCGACGGAAGTCAACACGAGTGTGCAGGGGGCCTAGCCCGCACGGCTCACGTCAAAAACACACACGTGATTTTCCAGCACCTTCCTGGGGTGCGTGGAAAGGTTTCATGCCTCTCCCAGCCGCCCATTACCACCGCATCTTGAAGCTCACCCCAACATTTGTACCATGCAGTGAACAACATAAAACTCACATTTTTTCCAGAGAAAACATACAACATCTACGTATGAAATCCGAATCCCTTCTTAGGGTGGTCGGTACTCACGGCCAGCCTCCGCCGCGAGGTGAAGCATTAGACACCCCACCCGCTCCCCAATGCAGGTGCCGACCCCCCCCTCCTCGCCCCCGGTCTGGGCCTTCCCCGCCAGAAACCGCAGAGTCTCCAGGTGCCCGTGCTGCGCGTACGACGAGGCACATGTGCCCATATGGTAATTTAGCGCACGAGCGAGAAAAAAGTGTTATTAGGTGCTTTGGCGTGTTTGTTCATCAGGGGAAGGATCCCAGCCGTGCCGTATGTCCGCCGTAAAGGCTCCAGCGCAACATTGAAAGAGAAAAAATGGCCCTCTTCCCCGTCTACTCGAGGGCGCCCCCAGTGATGTCGACATGGCATCAGCGGCCGATATCGCTCACCCTATAAGTGCACCGGAGAAACCCAAACTACAGCAGTAGCCTGTGAAAAAATGCAAATCGGAAACCGGCCAGACCACAACACATCCTCCTGTGGGATTACGCCTCTGCGGAAAAATACAGCATTTCTCCCACTCACCGCTGTAAAGACTGCATTGAACACATCCGACTGTGGTTTTATCTCGAACTGGTATTTACGCTCTGTGTATCTATAACGTATAGAATAGCCCATTGCAGGGGTGGGAGGGAGGGCAGAGGGCAATCGGTCGGTCACCTGGGCGGCTTCAATCATCCCCTGCGCCAGCTCATCCACGTCCTCCGTATCGCCGTCTTCGCTCAACGCCACCGAAGGGTGTGTGCTGATGATTTCGTTGTAGTAGCTGCCGGGGGAGACATTTGCGGTGGAAACATAGAAACCGAGAACGATCCGCAAAAATGTACGGCATCGGGGGAGCAACTCGACGGAAAGGGCTTGCTCGGCGGGCGGATAAGAAAATTGGCCGTCGGGTGGCTCCTTGGGGTGACGGGTTACTCTGGCAACTACTACAGAGTGCGCTCCAACTATTCACCCGGACGACTCTGACGAGGCCAGACGGTACCAAACCCCAAACAAGCGCCGCCGGCAGCAGTCGCAGCAACGGCCTCAACCAAAAGAAGCGCAAGCGGCGACAAGAGCAACTCCAGTCTAAGCCTCCTGGAAGGTGTCCTCCTACAGCAGCAGCGTACCCAGACCCAGAGGCACTCACACGTTGACGGTCTTAAACGCGCCGGCCTTGCGAAGGTATTCCCCGATCGACAGGTACGCCTTCGGGCGAGGATTCCCTGACGAGGATGCGGTGGCATAACCCAATCAGCAAACGGCGAGATGGAGAGGCCGGCATTTAGCTACAGTACAAATCGGCGAGAGCTGGTAACCCTCCTAGTACCCAGTAAGTTACAGGTTATTGGTCCAGAAAAAATCGCGTCCGCTCATTGGGAGAGGCGGTACAGTACCAGGGCCGAAGGCTGACTTGGCTTCAGTATAGAGAGTGTCCCCGAGTGCGCTTGGTACACTTTCCATACTGAAGTCAAGTCAGCAAAATTGCCAGTAATGTACAGCAGTTTTACCAACAAGGGGACCCGTGGCGTGGGAGATTGTGCACAAAAAGTCAGAGGCCCCGGACAGGCACACAGGTATCACACAGCACTGCTGTATGTCACACAGCGTATGCCACCACACAAGCATGCTAGACCGAGGTTTCCCACGCGCGTTTCACGCAGCGGAGCATCAGCATTTGACCATTACGGTGCGGAAAACAGGCATTCGAGTGCTGTGTCCCTAAGGTGTCCCCATTTGGGCTTCCAGCACTACAGTACGGAGGTTGACAAAGAATCGTGCTGCCTGGCGAGATATTCAACAGTCCAGTCGGCGAGAGTGGTACTACTATTGGAAAGATAAATCTAAAATAGGGAGCTTGTACAGGAGTCGAGCTACACCAACAGTCTCAAGACCAAGTTCCGAACTGTTTTACTTTGACAACCACCAAACACGGCGGCGCGTATGGTCTACAAGGCAAAATGCAGCCAGAGCACGACCTACAGCTTTGTACATACAGCCAGAGCACGAACTACTGTGTACAGCTTTGTACGAGCACCAAGAGCACGTAACATAGTCTAGCTGTCGAGGCGTGTAGTAGTCATGCCAAGTTGCCTGGGCTGCGACGCCGGAGACGACGACAGGTTCAAATTGAGCGTTGTTGTGTTGTACCAGCTTACCGCACCAGCGCTGCAAGTGTTTGGCACAAGGTAGTGCCACGCAAGGTTCCCCGCCGCATACGCCACACATCCCATCATACCGCAAGGGGATGACATGCTAGCTCTAGGACCACGGCCGGCCGGCCCTCTTCCTACAGGCGGTGCGCCCCTGTGTTATCCCCCAGACACCCCGAGACTGTTGGAAGAGTGCAGATAACTCCCAACTTTTTTTACCGGCCATCCCAACTTCCAACTGGCGGGCAGGAGAATAAGACAGTAAAGAGCGGGGACCGACGCACGAGTGCGGTGCTGCAGCAGTGGAAGCCGGCCCATCGAGGTGCAGACACCGCCAAGTGCAACAAGTGTCGGAACAAGGGCCCTCTCACCATGCTACTTTACTGCTGTTTGCATACCTCGAGGCGTCACCATCTTTCGCTCTACTTATTGTGATCACTCGTGCAGATATGAGCCGTATCCCGCCTCTGTTGTTCTCTTCACGCACACGAGGATCCCGTGTCTCCGTCTCGCTGTGCGTGCCAACGTCGGGCGCGCAGGTTCGGCTCAATTAGAGCAAGGCAAAGGGGGGTCGGGGTATCCAACAAGAGAATATTGGCATACCCCAGCCGAAATGACGGACCCCCTATTGAACATGTTGTTTCGCGCAAAGAATATGACTCTTATTAATAATAAGAGTCATATTCTTTGGTTTCGCGTTGCTCACATGCTACGCTATCCTAGGAGATATCCAGCACCCCTTCAGATCCTGCTATAGCGTCCTCATCACATAGTGGTCAGGTGAAGTCTAGCCCGAGACTATGCTCCGGGTACGTATTCAATTTGGCTTCCATCCACACTGGGAGAGGAATTGGGATGAACCATTCCACCGAAGAGCGAATCGCCCGCGCTGAATATATTTCTTCCGCATACAACGTAGAGAAGTATCAGGGTACTACAGGTACTGCTGTACAATAGTAGTCGTTAACTTCATGGTTGCCTCTGGTCTAGAATCCACGACTTTTATTCAACCGACAGTCTGCAACTCCATTCCCTCTCAAACTGATGGTATGTGGAGCCGTTGTTTTGCACACATGGCAATTCGAGAGCAAACCAGTCTCTTCTCCATCACGACGGAGCAAACGGCAATTGCACCCAATGTCAAACGTACGATCAACACCGACAACGATGACCCGCTGCCACTTCCCGCTGAGTGTCCGTGCACTATATTGAACAGCCTTGATGCGAAGTGTCCATTTGGCCAAAACAAAAGTGGCGCGTTCTGTACAATTGAGCGTAAAAGTGGGGTCGAGGTTGGTCGAGGCTCAATTTTGTTTTTCTTCACCACCGGCGAGCATCTAGTAGGTCGTCATTGTACAGGAGTGTATGTAGTGTAGGATCCACGCCCGAGGTGTGTTTCTTAGTCGATTGTTCTTACTATCACCGAATTGTGAACCCTTTGTCTTGATGATTTGCCGGGGCTAATTGCATATTGGTTGGGTGTGTTTTGTACGAAAAGTACTTTCTTTGGGAGTAGACTCTTTCGGACTTTTCTCCAGAAGAGTAAGAGATGGCAGGACACATAGGCGTATTGACGCTGGCTCTTTTCTTATTGTTAAATCCAACATAAAGAAAGAAAACAACCTTCCGGCCGGAGGAACCTGGTAATTAATACTAATACACTAATACAGTAGAGGACACCATCAAGAGGCGTCGTGCGTCCTGGCACGTTCAGGTTTGCAACTGGAGCTGAAATATCGACGGTCACAGCAGCCTCTGGTAACAGTTCGAAATCTGCACCGGAACCAAGCGGCATCCAACATTTTGTCACAACCGTGCTCACCGCCACGGACCGTAAACCCCTGAACGGAGGGCTATCAGCAGTAGCTGGTGGCATCAGCTACTGCTGTAGACCCGCAGTTCGGGAGATCGGGGTCAGTGGCGGCGAAAACACGCAGTACTAAACACTGGGTGTCGGTCTCATTTGCCGAGATTTGCGGAGATTGCAGGTGTACGTACGACGCTCGATATCACTACACCACAGAACCAGAGTTGAGCGCGCCAACACGCACCCCTCGCTGCTCCAGGATGTCCTGTAAGTGATATCAGTACTAGGCATCAGGTTCCTGGCAACACAGACCTTATTTGAGCGCCTGCCGTTTTGGCTCGTTCGACTTAAAAGTCAGAAGAGAGTGTGATTTTTTTTCTTGATTTCAAAGTAGGCGTGTGCAGATAGACGCGTCAAATGTATGTTTTGAGCAGCCTCTACTGCCGCCCTGTGCGAGAATCAACGATTTCTGTTTTTCACCATGTCTTTCAACTGGTCTTGTGTCTCTCTTGCGCGGTTACTGGTGCTCTTGCGTTTGCTTTCAACATTTGTGAACATCAAAGTTCGTTCGTGTTCTGCCACAGATTTCGAGGTAAGCCATCGTTCTGTGGATCGTTCCTGACAGTCTCGCCAGAACCCACGAGAAAGGTTTTTTTCTCCGGGTTAAGGGCGGAGAGAGGCTCGTTTGGTGGGATTGTTTATTTTACCCTTTTTTGGTAGCAACCTTCGAAGCAACACACCAGGCACCACCCACCCGCACACACAGTCTGCTAAGAACATTTCCGAGCTCCCAAAGAGAAGGTCAGCGCCCAGCGTAAAGGCCCTGGAGTTGGCGCGCGAGCAACAAAAAAAGAGGCAGGCTGCACGGCCCGAAAGCCATGTTGGGTTTGCGGCTTGAGGCCAGCAACACGCCCGTGAGGTTGAGGCAAGGGGGAAAAAGAGGGCCAGAATCGCTGAGACAACGACGACCAACGATGTAGGTAGAGGTGGTGGCAGCACCGCCAGCAAAGAAGAGCAGAGAGGAGAAAGAGCACGAAGAGTACCCTCCTGGTGCAGACGGGCGCGTCCTTCCTCCCGCGAGAGTTTTCTCCGATTTCCGTTCGAAAGAGCGTTTGACGTGGGGTGTGCCCCAATCCCCAAACCCCTCTCCCGAACGCTAGGAATGCGACACAGCACGTCAGTCAGAGGCTGCCGGACAGTGTAATTACTCCCTGTCTCCGTACTGGTGCGATTTTTGGTGTGCTGGGGGTGAGGGAGAGATACAGACAAGCACACGAATGCATGCATGTTCACTCAATCAAGAGCAGTGGGAGCGCTGTGATCAGGGTGCAGCTGTCACGCAGCGCACCACGAAAATACAGCAGGACCTGCCGACAGGGGGAGTTCTTTCGGTGGGATTTGGCGGACTGTGCCCCACAGTCAATCACATGAGGCCGCCTTAAATCTGAAATTATTTTGCTTGCACGCAGTTTCCAGTAAAGTTTCTTACATCAAAATCTGCTTCCTTCCTTAAATGGAAAATTTGGAGTCCCAGTCCGAATTTGTGTACGATTTTATTATTCTTCAGTTTAAGGGACGCATCATCTAGGTTGTATGTGCTCACACTTCGGGCGGGCACGGGCATCGGGCGCGGTGGAGGGCGGGTTCACCAGTTGATTCGCGATCGAACGGAGCCTTTCGCTCTCGAGACACCGCCATGTGCCCTCGACGTTACTTAACATGGCAGCTCTTGCTTACAACGAAATTGATTCCCCGCCTTGGCTAGTTGCGGCTCCACTGCCAAGAGACCACACCATCTCGCAGTCTTGCAACAATAACCAAGGGTATATCGTCATGTCGCCATCTCCTCGTCGTTCGCCCCCTTATCGAGGGCATGCTCTTTTCTACCTGTGGTTCACGACCTCTCGGCAGAAGAGGCTGAGCAGCCTCTTGGATTTGCAACATGGCCGAGGTGGCCCAACGCCACACCCGCACTACAGCAACCAATCACACGCAACTACCCCCAAAACCTTCAACATCCGGTCCAATACAATCACCGCTCGAAGGAGCATGCCGGTAGGAGTGTGTGTTGATAATATGCCCCAACCTCCTTCCTTGTCGCCTACGGTACCCTTGGCTTCGACAGCGCCCCTCGTGCAGAGTCCATAGACATTCGGCTTTTCATATGCCCACCCCGGATATCGTAACCCTCACGCTTGACGCAGGGTACTGCCGGGCCATGGCTTCACGGGGTGTACTGCTCTACAGGCACTCCGCGCAAGGTGTTATGTCGTCAACCTGTTTCTTATGTGCACCCCCGTCACCCTCCCACGATGATAGCTCTAGTATGATACACCTCTCGTACGGCAGTGGTGTACTTCACCCAGAAACTAACACCTATTAGTTCGGCACTTTTCCGAGTAGCTGCGAACGAAAATGTTTGGGCGTGGAGGCATTCTCCTCAGAGCATGTGCAAGCTCCCTTCTCGATGTATCCTGCTGTCCATCATACTCTCTGGATAATGTGCTTGCGCCAGGCGTTCTTCGGAGACGGTCTTGCGGTCTTGGGGCTATACCTTTTCCTCCGTACCCTCCATTGGCGGAGTCAATTCCCGTGTCATTCCTACGCCCGTCGCCGTTCCACCCCAAGACGGCGCCTCTCCTTGCATAAATCGAGCCTATAGCAAGGGCGGAAACAAAACAGGTGCGCGTCTACACTTGTTATTTCAAATTCACCGTTCGCTGACGTTGATAGAATGGCGCAAAGAGCGCCCTTCGGTTTCTGAGTGTGCAGATACGGCATTGACTACCGCGAATACATCCATGCGTTTCAACATCTGAACTCCGTTTTGTACTGTGACCAAAATGCTGCGTTAGCCTTGGCAAGGTGAGTCAACTACGTTTCACCCCCGTAGATATTCGCAAAACACGATGTACCCTAAATCACAGGAAGGTCGTCGTTTTTCTTACCGGTGGAGCGACGTTGTGGCGCAAAAGGTGACCAATTTCGTCGTGACGCTTTGACACAAGCTCGTACCCTTTTTCAAGTGGCGACGTCATGTTTTGGCGCCATTTCCGGTTGGCCTGTGGCAATGACGTCAAATCGAGAGCAGTGGTAAGCTTGTGACGGAGGAAAGAAGCGGTTTCGGGAGGCTTCGCCGGAAAGGGCTGCTAGCATGTTTAACACACGACCGACTTTGCCCGAGCCCTGCCTCTCCAAATTCTTTGGTGCTGGATCTACCCTTGACACTAGAGGTCGTGCGTGGGCCTTGCCACACACGTCTCCAACCTGCGAAACCAACATGCAACTCTCGCCCAAATCCCAAACCGCCTTGTCTCGCCCTGGGGGCGCTGCACTCACCCGGTCCACGAAGCGCTTCTTCTGGCACGACCACTGGATAAATTAAGTTTCCCATAACCGGGGACACGCACACGACGGGGGCGGTGCACGTTGAATGCGCGAGATACTTCATACATTTGGGTTTCGTTCCAGTTGTCCTAAGTTTGTCTTGCTTGGACTCGGCTACAGGCGTTTGCCGAAGCAGAAAATGCCCCCCCGATAAAATATGCGGCCATGTCCGAACCAGGCGCACCCATCGCCGTTTATTCAGGTTGTGACTACGTATTGTAGAAACGGCTACCATCTCTTCCAGGGTCCTGGGGCTCGGCCTTTGCCACAGCTTCATCCGAAAACGTTTCCTGGAGCTTCTGCGCCCCAATTGCGCGCCCTGTGCTCTCAACCCTCAAATTACTCTATCGAAACCGTTGGTTACCTGCTCGTACAACAGCTCGACGCTCTTGCTGTTGAAAAACCCGTCGGTCGCGGGCACAATGATTGTGGCTACCGCCAAGGCAGCAGCTGAGCGTGAGGGCCCCCACCCAAAGATGAGCCCGATGTCGCTCGTACCAATACCCCAAAAGAATAGGGCGGGGCATCCGAGCTGTAGGCTAACCGCTGACTTCCTGCTCATGCCAGGGTGCGGAAACAAACGGCCATGGCATCTTGAAGGTCACAGCAATGACGGGAGCAGGAATGGCTGCCCAAAACGATCTTGGTCACCTCCATTTTTGACGGGGCGTTAGGAACAACCTAAGAAGGTTCTTCTCCCGCCAAACTTGGGGCACAAGGCAGAAGTCCATCGCAGTCTCTGAGAACAGAAATCAATGGCGTCCCGACTTTCTACGTTGTTGTTTGAGCGAGGAATCCGCGACGAGCTCACTAAAAAGGGCCCCACCGCGACAAAGAGTACTCCACCGCGACACATCACGCGGTCTCGTTGTCGCACCTTGGCACCGCCGCCGGGTTCTCTGCGACAGGTTTTTCCTTGAGAAGCAACGAATTCGCCCAATAAAAAAAAGGTGCCAGGATGCACATGAACACGAGAAGGTACAGCTGGTCGTTTTCTTGCGTCACCGGTAGCAGGAGCTGAAAAATCTGTTTAACATTTGCCGCGTTTTGCGCGAGTGGCACAACAAGCAAGCAAGCAAAGAAATCTGTAACGGCTATGGGCTTTTCTTGGAGCGTTACCATAGGACAACGCGAAGAGATGAACCGTGGGTTTTTAGTTCATCGCGGTGGCATTGGGTGCGGCATTCATATCGGTTGATATACAAACACAATCAGCGCGGTCTTGAGTGGAGTCTCACGAGGGTGGACGGAGGCTTTTGCGTGCAAACAACTCACCGTCATATATCATGGTTCCGATCTGTGTCTTGTCACTGAGCAGATACTCTCCATCAACCGGTGAGAACAACAAAAATTAATGGCCACCGAATCTACGTCGGTCAAGCACGAGAAACCTCAGTTCTGCTCACCACGATTAGCTTTCCTGGGATGAAGGATTGTATTTTTGCCTCAATGGTCTGTTGCCAGGCCGGTGGTGGGAAGCGTGGCCATGGCGTACATGCGATCCCCACAAAGGGGTCGAAACAGGAGGAGAGAACATCGTTTCAATGCGAATGGAGGTAATGTGCTCCGAACGAGGGTTCGAGATGGAAATTGTCAAAATGTTAAAATATACTAACTAGACGAGGATATATGAATGATGACAAGCAACGAATTTTGGAGCACTCCGGTCACCAAGCCATGAATATGGAGCGGACCGTCGTGACCGTCCTGCACCTTTTTTCGTCGAGCTCCCCGTAGCCAATGAGAAAGATGTTGCGCAGAAGCTCGATTCTCTACTATGAGACGGCCCCGTTTGTCCCCCTGTTTCCGCTACAGTACATATGAGCACGGTAGGGAGATTTGAAGCGATCAAACGTCGGCATAATTCGGAACGCATGAGCCGTACTTCCTAGTAGAAGAAACTAAAATGTTTCGACGCAATAACAACACCAACAGTAGCGAACCAGATTCAGCAGAAGTTTGCTCACCGATAGCTTCGACTTCTTGCCGATGTCCGAATGTCCAGGAGCAACGTCGACCGCGTGTCGGTTAGGCGCAAGGTCGAGAAGAAGTGTTAAATGTCGTGCTGGTTCACTTCATCACAACGGCGGTTTACGGGGGTGACCAACAGCTGTGAGATGCGAGACGACCGGATGCTGTCGAACGAAGTTTGGAGTGTGTAATCGCCTGCCTTGAATTTGGCATGGTGTCGAACACCTATTTGGAAAAGAGCGCTTTGTAGGGCGAGTTGAGATGATCAGCCCCAACAGTGCCCGCAGTCACCCTCTGGCAACATGACCAAGGTGCATATGGCCCAGCTATGGCCCAGCTGCAACGGTTGACTCCGGGGGTCTTCGACTGGATGCAAACTACCGTGTACGTCGTTGTCGAAACGCGGAGATTCATTCGTCAAAGCTGCGACTAACGAAACACGGAATTTCTACTTCGATTTTCTCGGTCGTCTGCGATTTAGCGTTAGTATTACACATTGCACAGCAATGTTTTGCTGATGAGCGCTTTGAGGCTTGCTTTCGAAGAATTCCAAGTCAACTGCATCGATTGCCGGTTTAGGGGTGTCGCGACGATAGTTTGTTGTGTGCATGATCTTCATGCCAACCGTGCCTCCCAGTCTCAGCGCTGGGACCCTTGCGGAGAGTGCCGAAATCAACCGATTGGACGAATCAGTCAGCTAAAACCAAACCGTTCGCACAAAGGGTTTCGTTCCTTTATTCAACTCGTTAGAGGGAAGGGACGACCATCCACGGTCTTTGGTTATTGGAAGACCATCACCGCGACGACATTCCTCGCCTTCAGATGGTGCCGTCGTTTCTCGAACTTGTTCTGCATTTCCTCGCCCCCTTCTACGAGGGCCGACCGAAGTGGTGTGTGATCCAGCTCGTCCTCCGTTGTTTCAAGCATTTCTAACACCTGATAGACGGAGGGAATCGCCGTGTGTGATGAAGCCGCATATAGGTGTAGTATAATAGGATTTACCTAGCCACCAGCAATTGGCACCGTCCGATGTGCTCGGTGAAGGCACACATTTCGTCGTGTCGTTGGATATCCTCGATATCGTCGATACCCGAGGAACTCTGCCGAATCCCTAGGCCACGACCATCGTTCCTAACCACTGATACTCACCTCTGCGTCCAACACATGCTTGCGAATGGCTCGAAGGGCGGCTTCAAACAGTTGACACTGTTTCGATCGGATCGAGTGTGCCAGAAGCGTCCTTCCGGATAGATCTGTCGCAGTCAGATGATCTCGAAGCTAGGGCGCGTAGAAAGACGTGCACGCGAGGGGAACGGGGAAGGAGGGATGGAGCACAATGACCAGGTCTGCTCATGTGTTCACGCCTTTCGCCTTTGATCTGCAATAGGGGTAACCGTCTCCGTCTTGGACGGTACGCTTTTCCTGTTTATCATTGTACACTGAGCACTGAGTTTATTCACGATTTCGATAGTCCGAGCTAGATGAATGAGCCAGTCCTGATGAACCTCCGGAAACTCGAACACGACCGTGGAGCAACGCAACATAGCTTTTGTCGTGTGGCGAGTCAACTCGAAGCCTACCCGCACCTGTGCTTTCCAAAGAGAGCACTGCACAAATTCGAAAGCAACGTTGAACAAGGGGACAGCGGGATCGGGTGGAAGCACGACGTCGTTCCCTAACCCCAGAACGCTCGACTCCCCGATGGAGCTCGAACGTTTGAGGTGAACGTTATCCTCACTCGCTCCCGGTAAAGCACTCCCGCTAGATGACACACCAAGATTCTCGCCACCTAACAGGGCAATGGTAGGTGCAGTTGGTGTGAATGCGAGAAACGGTTCAGTCCCGAAACAATTTTACGGGACGTTCAAATTTGGCAGGACTAACGATATAAAGTCTTGTCAACCAAACCGCGACATAATTCACGAATTGAACGTTCCTACATACCTCGGACTGGTGCAGGTTGGCACGCTCGGTAGGCAACGCTGTGCATGAGGAAGTTCAGACCCTCGGCGTCCGTTTCATAGAGCAGGTGCCGCACCTGAGTTGTAGCGCACATGTCGTGTTGGGCGCGCAGTGTCACCAACGAAGCGGGGGGTAAGCGTTCAGGAGGGTCCAGCGCCGAAGGTGACAGGTACATGTCAAAGTCCAACATCGATCGTAGATGAACCCAGAGATGGCTCCTTTTCGCATGACAGAAAGCCCAACCTCGTGAGTTCGGACCCACGCCGGATAATAATGAACGCTCGTGAAGCAGTAGCGGAAATCGCGCGTCCATGCGGAATCTTCGTAGAGCACCGGCCGAACCTCGGCGGAAAGATGTGCTCACCGTCTGTGGGTCGCATCCTCGTCTGACGGTGTTCGCCACGGTCCTCAAGGTCATGGCACTTCCGGCTCGGGCGCTGTGCGTCAGTATGTTTCTGCCATCGTCGGACTGTCTGGTCAGGTGAATTCCGACGCCCTGGTCACGGTGCAGAATCGGTACGAATAGTATGCTTGCTATTTTTTGGATGCTATTGCTTCAGCAATGACGCAGGACATTTATCCCGCCTTTTGGCGGGGTACGAGGCTAGTTCTTTGCAACCGTCCGCCTTTCGGCTCCATGACATCGATTGTATCGTTCCATACTGCCTAGATAGTGTGTGTGCTAGATTTCGTTGTTGTCTTCTCAGTTCCAATGTACTACACGGTCATGGGCAAGGGTGAATCAGCGTGCGGTGACCGTGCGCATTTTAGCGAGGGCACACCAACGGAGCGGAATGCCATAATCGTAGAATTTTCCCGCCTTACACCCCCCCTTCCCACGAGGAACTGGAAACGGACCATCAATAGAGATTCTTCAATGCGCCATGACTGGGGAAGAACAACAGTGATGGCAATGATGACGCTATCGGTCGTGTGATCAACCGCGATCGCGGCACGGTCGAAATTTCAATCTCTCCGCGGTACTTTTTCATCAGGCTCACCAGGAAAAATGCAGCTCACCAAAGCTAACAAGTCAAAGATCAATCAAATAATCATGTGTAACTGTATGGTTTCACGGGTTTCTTTGGTTTGAAAATTGTTTTTTGTTATCCAGGAAACCTTTTGCAATGTACTCTTTTTGCACGGCTTACCCCGTCGTCGGCCCTAAATGCCACCTCAATAGCATGAAGAACCGCTCGAAAAACTGGAGCGCTGCCGCTAATCGCTGCATGCAAAAGCAACGTTCTCCCTTCGAAATCGCTCGCTTCCAGCGAACGCTTTGCCTGAGGAAAGACGGATTTCCAATCATATTGAGAGGTGTGATGCCCTTTTAACATTTAGCGAGGAACGGTATCGACAAAGACGCAGCTGCCTAAAGGGACTCTGAAAGCGGAGAAGGTGTACACTGCAAACACGGCCTCGTGGCATTCCTTAACCTGAAGAGGCTGCAGGTACCAATCTCACGTGGGTGTGTTGAATCTCCGCCAATACCGCGGAGAGGATGGCAACATTCCCCTTGCGTGCGGCAAGCATCGTGACTGTGGCCCCTGCATTGTCTTGCGTGGCCAACTGCATTCGCATTTCCCTGTCGCGCTCCAGTTGGGGACAGTGTTCCAAATCGCCGACCTCACCACACTTAAACTTTTCCTGTTCGATCGGGATGGGAAGTCGCTGGTAAGGATACGCGGTGCAGGCGCTACGCCATCGATGCATATTTTCCGTAAATCTCCAGAAAAAAAGAGTTTCTCCCAAGATATGCATGCGAGTTATTACATTACAGGCTCAGGTCACACAGGAGGGATTCTGCACCTTCCCGGTAGAGCTTGCTTTCAATATTTAGTCTATTGCGATAAAGCTAGCAAGCTTTCAATATTCGTGTGTGTTCGCAAAACTTTGCGCTTTTCACTTGAAAGTGCTTGTCGGGCGAGATTCGCACCTGCGACCAATATTTACTAGCTACACCGAGGGGTTCTTTTCCAGCTGAACCACTCGGTCGCTGTTGTATGATCGATGTCAGCTTGTTCCTGAAGGAGACCGTCGGAGCTGTCTGACATCATTCGGTGGGACTGACTGGAGCCGAGAAAATTCAAAACGAGTGACTCTTGTGGTGCGTGACCCTTTTGGATGACCCGACCGGACCATTGCTTCACCCATCTGGCCAACTAAAGAGTGCAAAGGAATAAACACAGCGTTGGGCGCGCGAGAAAACGGAACCCACGCCCTGGACGGGGTCAAAGCCCTTTGATTTTCTTCGAGAATAATATTAGCTGAATGTTCTTTTGTCTCTGCATTTTCATCGAACATTGTTGTCTCCTTCTCGAACGTGGAGCGAACGTTCCTTTTTACAACATGTACGTACAGTAGACTGCGGTATTTTTCGGGATAACATTTGATATGCCTCGTGTTCGTAGCTTTATGTACTCATCAACTGTAGCGAAGAGTAGGCAGAGTTTCCGGCCTCTATGAAACAAAGAAGATACGAAAGAGTTTCGTTTCGTAGGGCCTACATACAGTAGATTGTGAACCTTCGCCAGGCACGGGTAAAGGTCCGAAACAAGCGGTATCACCGTTTCACACACATGCGAGATAGTCTGTAGCCTACACACATACAATCACCCACGCTTCACAGCAATTCGTCCTCTCTCTCTCCCGCCGTCTCTTTCGCGGTCCTTCCCCCTATCACAGTTCTCCGCGGCGGATATCCATACATATTTACGTTACGGAATCCACGGAATCCACTGCCGTGGAAATACCTAGTGTAGTTCCTATGCATTGCGAAATAGGCGTATTTTGTTTTACTGTCTCGCATACCACGGCTACCCTGTAAAGGGCGATCTACAGTAGTAGTGGTATTCACAGGGAAGGGGAGCTCAGGCTCCGTAAACCATCTGACTCAATCCCCAACACAGTAGCTGACTATTCAACATTGGACAAATCCGACGGCTCGGCGTCGCAGCAATTGCACAATTCGCCCTGCTACACCTAACCTGGCCAGGATTGACCAGGGATGTATCGTTTCTGTTGGTTATGGGTGCGTGCCTTTACTGCGCAGGTTTCGGTATGTCGGCAACCAAGAGAGATCAAACACACCGATTACATTCTACTTTCTACAATAAGACCATGGTGGCGACCATGACAAGCCCACCAATAGCAGCACCGACCGCACCACTGGCGCATGTCCACGATGGGCTGTGCGTTCCGGCCTTGTTGGCATCACCAGCAAGACCACCGCTGGTGCTCTCCTCTGCCACCGGGGCATTGGTGCCAGCGAGAATAGCGTCGGCTCTGACAGGGGCTGGTGTTGGGTCTCTGCCAGAGTAGGCTGGTGCCGGCGAGCTGCTGCCATCACTGCCGGTGCTGCTGCTGCAAGACGAAAGCGAGCAATGCTACCCTTAGCCTATGAATATTTCACATTCGAGAACCGCCACGAAGTATTGGTTGGACATGCAGTTCGTGATCAAGGCAGACTTCTCTTGGAAGCAACATCCTACTTGTTGATATTCGGAACAAACGTCCGAGGTCGACGTGTCAACACTGCTGACGCACTCTGGGTACTTCAAGCCCATACTGCTCTCTAGATCAAGGGTTGAAAGACAAAAACTACAAGCTTCGTCGGCTAGACAGGCCTCGCCAGCTTCAGTCTCGCAACCTTCGCCGGACGCCGCCGAGGGCGATGGCGGTGGTGTCGAATTGGTGACCGTCCCGATCGAAAGCAGAGGGGGGCACCGTTGCTTTAGGGTTTTCTTCGGGCGGAAGACATGGCGCGAACACGTTTCGAAAGTGGACAGCGCATTGGGGAACAGTGTCCAGGGCGACATTAGACCGATGAGAGACACTGCTTGTCTGTTAGAGTACGGCAGCGAACTAACAGTCTTCACGTTCGTGCTGTTTCAACAGTGGATAGACTCTGTAATCGTTCGTGCTGTTTCAACAGAAGATGGACTCTGGCAGTGGATTTGATGCGCTCTTTACGGCATCGTTCCACAGAGTACACTGTTTCCAAAATACAACCTTTACCCACTATTTCAGCATTCTTGCGAGACAACTTTCATTTTTGCTCTGTTTTACCTGGAGGGCTTGTGGGCGGCACTGTGGATGTCGTCGGAATAGGGCTCGATGACCGTGTAGTAGGCGGTGCGCTAGGGCGCATGGTCGTAGGTACCGGGGACCGCGTTGAAGCCGGCGCTGGTGGTGCAGTCGGCGCTGGTACGAATGACGACGAATTGAAAGATGCATGATGAGACGACTTGGTATTGCCGAAGATTTACAGTTGGTAAGGTTCCCGCTACAACAACCACGCTAAAAAACATGGTTTGGGCTTCGGTTCTCCCAGTGGGCATTGCGTGCGGCCATAACATGAAGCAACAGGCTACATTCAGTAGAACCGTTCGGCGAATTAATGTGGATAACCCAGTCCGATAGCGCACGTCCATGCATCTACTTCTCGCTAGACAACGCTGCTCGTCATGCCCCACGCACCAGCGCAGCTGTAACCATCCTCTCCGGGAAAGCACGATTCCCCCGTAGCACACGCCCCGTCGCTCCCTTCAGCCGGACAAGCTGTGGAAACGCAAGTCAGGGCGGAATTCTTCGTTCAATCGGCGGCGGCAAGGCAGTGTGGTGACCATCTGTTCGGCTGATATAGCCCCGTCCACTGTGAAAGTCATGATCGTCGGGCTTCCCATTTCATGTCAGTTGAAAACGACCTCGATCTCCTACATTGACAGATGTGTGTAGCTTCATGGAAGAAAAGGGAACGTAAGCGCTTCCAAGCAATCTAAAATTTGGTAGAGGTGTTTTCGAGCGACTTCCATGGAAGCGTTGAACTTCCATGGAAGCTAGTCGACCTGGTGGCAGTCGACTACTGTAGCTTCCACGAAAGTCGCTTGGTGAGCTTCCATGGACGTCAGTTCAACCAACTTCCATGGAAGTTGCCCACCTTCGGGCAGTTTCCATTGATGTACAAGCTTTCCGGCACAATGTCCATGGGAGAATATCACCCGAGTCCAGCTTTAAGAAAAATTTGGAGACAATGTAGGGTTAGGGTCAGGGATAGTTGCTTGAATATATTTTGATGGAATCTGTCGGTCTTCCAGGCAATTTTCCTCTCGGCCATGACAAACCGTTCTCTGAAAGTTGTTTCATGGGAGTTGATCTCAAGGAAGTTTCATTCGTGGAGTTGCCGTACTTTCATGAGCGCGTCTTTCGTTCTTTCATTCGTTTTTGACCGGGGTCGATCGTCTGTATCCAGGTCATTGGCCTTGTTTCCTTTTAGTTGTTTTTTTTCTTTTCGTTTGGGTAGAAAAACAAATCGCGCCTTGGAGGAATATTTTCTTGTGTCCATTTTGTTTTTTCTTTCTTTGAAAGCTGTACCCCCCCCCTTTGGTGGGGCAGTTGACTTGTGACCATGGAAGGCGT